TTGAATCTTACTATATTTTCTGTTCTTGAAACTAATGTCTTGTCTGCATAAATTAGAGTTGTGACTGTGTGAATTTTGCAGGATCAAAATAGTAAGAATTCTTATTCTTTACAATGACTAAGAATGCATTTTTTGTACGAATTAAGATATAGCAATGACAAGGATGTGACTAAAAAAGGCACATGCTCATTGTTGAATTCAAAACGATACAAAACTTTTCTTTCTGTTGTGAAGAATATAATACAAAGGCATTGTTGAGTCTTTGAAAAGTAACTGTTTTGTGAGCTGAACTCTAGTCATCACGTGACACGAAACCGTTCACCGCTATCAATCGAAAGCGTGAGAGTTCTAACTGACTTCCTAGACTTATGTAGATAAATGATTCTTTTTAATGATAACTGTCATAAGATTGCATTTCTGCATCAATGTTAGATACATTGCTACGCTTTGCCGTTACAAGATCAATAAAGAACCCCAAAAACCCGTTTTTTAATAATAAAATATATGAAATTTATCTTCGATGTTTCGGATTGCGTGAAATTCCTAATCTTGACAAAAAGCTTGCAATTTCTCTTGTTAACATCATTCATGGGTAAATAATGTTGAAGGGTAAATAATTTTGGAATCCAGATATTTTTTTAATTACATAAGAAACAAAGCAAAGCCAAATAAAAATCTGGAAATGCCAAGACTCAACTTCTGTATTATACTTGTTCGTCATACAAATGGAGATCACTTGAGATGTCTAATTTTCATTCTAGAACAAATGATTTTCAATTGTGTGCATGTATACTTTAATTCCTTTGATGCAATGCAAAATATCAAGCATCAAATCAGAGAGAGAGAGAGAGAGAGAGAGAGAGAGAGAGAGAGAGAGAATTCATTTCGCCTCAAAAATTCACAATAGACATAAACTTCCATATTAATAATTAGTCGTTTTTGATGTCATTTATTTCTGAAAATAACATTTCTGACTAAATGTAACTCAAAATGTGTTGTGACATTTACATGTATTTTGATTACCTTTACTGGCAATATACTACATGAATTTGTAAAATTTGAAATGCATTAACAGTAAATCTCTGTAACATTTAACGAAGAATAGAGTACCGGAACCTTATCTCTGCTTGTTATGAAGAAATTAATATCAGGTAAATTTCGAAAATGTGAAAGCTCTAACCGACTTCCTAGAGTTATGTAGATAAATGATATTTTTAACAATAACTGCCATAAGATTGCATTTATGCATCAATGTTAGATACATTGCTAGGCATTGCCGTTACTAGATAAATAAAGAACCCCCAATTACCTTTTTAAACAAATCGATGAAATTTATTTCCGATGTATCGGATTCAGTAAAATTTGAATTTAATTCGCCTCAAAGATTATTTTTTTTTTTAGAATTATATCTAAATGTCTTGTACTTTTGATGAAGAAAAAAATTAATGCAAGTTAAAATGCTTTTCTTAAAATATATTACTTCCCATGTTTAACTTCCTTTTAAAGCTTACGTTATATGATCTATTTTCAAAGAAACTTGACCTTATATTACAAGTATATTACTGGACAGTACATGTAGTATAATAGTGTATAGTACCCAACCGGAAATAATCAAATGCAACTAAAAGGAAAAAAATTAGAAAGTTATATATTTAAAAATATTTTTCATGCATGGGAATGGGAAATTTACAAGCAATTTTCCAAACACATTTCTGAAAGGAAAGATGGTACTGTAGATTCATCAATATATACGCGAAAAATTATTTTCGCGCCATTTCCGTTTTCGTGAGAATCGCTCTTGGGAAATAAAATTACGCGCTCTCACTTTTATATGTTGCTGAAATACATATAAAAACTCTTGATCAACAGTCCACATTTCATAAATCTTCTGTTTGGTTACGGTGCAGGTTCAAAAATCAAAACAATCGGAATGGACTTTAAATAAACAGGTGCCAGTACCTATTGTAAATGTAATTAAATTAATAGGGTTTAGAACGGACATTTTATCAGAACATTTCTAACATGGAATAAATCCTTAAAATGGTGATTATGGACTTAATACAATGATCACATAATCATGTTAGTTATTTTAAAATAGAGTGTAATTATTTGTGACAAAAAAAAAACCAAGTTTATTACACGGGATGGACATTTCTTGTGTACCAAATACACTGACTAGATATTAGTAGGTGTAAGAGTAATTTTGATTGCATGAATTATTATCATGATTATCATGATAGAACTTCTGAATATAATGTTGGTATATTAAACTATAATTTGGCAATTTTTTTTTGTGATTGAGTTGGTCGGAGTGGGCTAATCAAATCTTTCGACACCAATTAAGTAATATTTTTTAAAGAAATGCAGAAATCTGTTAGGATATCGGGAATGAGCAGGAAAACTGAAAATTTTGGGGCATATGGGGAAGGGGAATATATGGGGGGGGGGGGGGGCTGGGACCAGAGCTGGCGTTGTAATGGGGTGGGGAGACTGGGTCCATGGATATCACAATTACGCTTTACCTTCAATGGATGGTTGTGCCAAGTTGAGGTCATTTGGTCAACGGTACATTAATGATCATCGGTAAGCCACTAGACAACGTTGGGGGAGTTCACTTACCAGAGAGGCAAAGTCACCACAACGGGCGACTGCGACAGGAAAATCGACACCAGGATCAGCAAGGCAATTCTGCAATGTTGAATCCTGTTTGGAGATCTACAGGACTTAAAGTGCGAAAAGGACCTCTTTGGCAATTGAAAGAAAATTCGAAGTCTTCCAAATCATATACCTTAGACGTATACTTAAGATCTCCTGGTCCAACACCATCTCAAATAAAGAACAACTGAATAGCTAGAACTCTGAAGCCAACAATGTCTCAGACCATCCAAACATGTCTTGGTCACGTCTAACTCACTGCCCAGGGTTGCCCTTCGATGGACACTCAAGGGGAAAAGAAACAGAGGTCGGTCAAAGGAGACCTGGAGAAGACCTGTCCTCAAAGACCGGAAGAGCAGAGGTCTGACCATGGAGACAGCGCCTCGAGTAGCTACAGACAGAATCAGGTGAAAATACCTTGCATTCTCCTCAAGCACCAGACGGCACACACGCGCGGATCCAGGAATTTTTTCCAGGGGGGGGGGGGTGAGGGGGTCCACCCCAGTCAAAAAAAATTATATCCCAAAAAATTCTTGATAAGCAAAAAAAAAAAAAAAAAACCTTAAATCCATTTCCAAAACGTAAAAAAACACATTTTTCGTGGTGGTGATGGTGGGGTCCACCTTTTCTAGAGGATCCAAGGTCATTTTTTTTTTATTTGCTTCAGTATATACTTTTAATAACTCTGCAAATTCGGGGGGGGGGGGGGTCCGCACCCCCCCCCCCCCAAGTCGAATTCCGGGACCATGTGTGCCTTTTGAAAAATAAAATTCCCTCTTCATTGTCTTCTAAGAATATTTCGACTCTTCAGATATTTTTGGTCTTTCTGGGATTTTCAGCTTTTTTGTTTTTGATCTCAGTTTTGCATCCTTTTTGGTCTTTCACGATGTTTTAAACCAATATTAAGACTTCTGTAATACAAACGTATATTTATCTACTCTGATAAAATTCCAGAATTTACCGGTATTTCTTTTAAAAACGTTTATGATAACTATGGCTTTTCTTGTTGTTAGTTTCTAAAATATAACACTGCAAATAGATTGACGCGAGTGCGTGAGTATGATCATCAAAGAAAGTGTTTAATTAAAATATTTCAAATATATTGTACCCACATATAAAAGTCCTCTCATACAAATTGACAATGTATGAATATGATAAACGATCGCGATGCGTCAACAAGGGAAATAAATCTTGTTGTGTATAAAAAGTTGTTTTCTTGTCAAGAAATGATGTATGAAGAAAACTTGAAAAGAAATAACAGTAATTAAGGAAATAAAATGTTACCCTAAATGTAGTTTACAAATTAATACACCTGTCTCATATTTTCCCGTATTAGTGAGTCGACTTAGTTACATTTTTTGTGGAGACATTCGCATGTGCGAAATTATACTTGAGATTGAGATACGTGTATAAAATGTTAAAGCCCGTTCCAAATGATTAGCTAGAAGAGAAGAATGATTATATTAATCTCTCTCTCTCTCTCTCTCGCACATATAGACGTACGTCTGTATATTTTTTTTTTGAGTGTTTGCTTAATTTTCACCCCGGCCCCATGAATAAAAACCCCTGAATCAATCTTGCTATGTGCATAATTATATGGCTTTTTGGTATGTATTTTAGAGTTAGAGGGCTTCATTTTACACTGCAGCTATAGACACTTGTTTCCTCTATCAAGTTAGCCCCATAGTATTATATTATACACTATATTATAATTATACCAAAAATGTTAACTTTTATTTTACAGACAGAAGTGCTCACAAGTGACAATTTTTAAGGTATAAAAATCTGTTATCTTAGATTACTAAAGAAGAAAAACCTAGGAATTTGAATTAGGTAAATACATTGGTGCTAATATTATTTTTTACCTAAATTTATGCTTGTTATTAATTCAGTCAGATTAAAACAATATTTTCTAACATTATTTTTTATTTTACATTTGATTGTCCAGATGAGCAACCCTGACCATAGGCACTCCCAAGCTTAATTGTTTAAAAAAATATATCGACTATACTATTATAATAGTAGATATATATTTTTTAACAATTATATTAAAACAATTATATTGATCTGGGAAGTGACTAAATGACCCTGATAGTACCCCCCCCACCCCCCTTTCCCGTCCCCAAAAAGGAAAATCGATAATGAATTGATATTTCATTAAAAAAATGTGCATGATGTATGTCAACATGTTTATATAAATTTATCGTGGATGCAAGAGAGAGAGAGAGAGAGAGAGAGAGAGAGAGAGAGAGAGAGATCTATTTATAATTCATGCCATCGAGAACGAGAAGCACCTGCGAGACTATTCGAGAGTTAACGAAAGTGACCAATCAAAATTTCCCTTCTATTTGTACATCGTCGTCGACACCAACAGGCTGTAGAAACAACATATTACCCAGACAAAACAAAATGTATGCAGGTAAAATTTCTTTAGATAATGCATTTACTAAAAATACTCATTAAAATAATCATAAAGAATCTTATCGATATCTTTAAAACTCGTGCCATTGCAAAGCAGGTGATTTTCACAGCGCGACACCTCGTTACCGAGGACGCTAAAATACTTTATATGATACCTGTGTACCCATTGAGGTTGTAATGAAAGATCTAACTTGTGAATATTGGATGTCAAAAAAGAGTATGTGATAATTAAGTAATATCTATACTGCAATATAATATGGGAGATTTTTTTTTGGTCTGGAAGCATGTTTAAGATAGGAATTTAGGTACGTATTGTAGTATATAGGCTAATTTACGAAATCATAGTATCTTACGAAGGAAAACTTTAATTTGTTCACCTGTTATTTACTTAGAAAGCCCATGAGACATAGAATTACTGTTAAGTCCTTGTTTGTTTTATTTTCGGTTTAAGAGGCTTTGGGATCAAATATCTTTGAGCTTCATCAAAGACCTATATGGGTAGGTCATACAAACATGCCCTGCATGGTTTATATTTTTATGTATGTACAATAAACAGACTTTACATACAGACTGCATGGTGCTTTTACTGTTAATCTTTAATTTATACTCAGCGATAATATAACTGCATGCCTGATGTTTGTTTATTGGACATAATGCGATTAATTACAAGTAATTAGAAACTCATATAATAAACCATTTCCATAAATTATTCATGAATGAATAACCTCAATAGTGGCATGCCACAGTGGTTAGTGATTAGATGATGTAGTAAACCAAAAGTGTTAAACATTGGGTTTATTGGATTTATGATCATATAGGGTTATAAACCATTGCGAAATATCTTGGGAGACAAGAATTAGACTTGGACATACAGTATGATAAATATACATTTTAAATTACAAAATATTCATATATAATCTTCTTGACTTAGGTGCCTGAGGACAGGAACATTCCCTCCCCTCTACCTCCTCCCCCCTCCCATTAGGCCTTTCACTTTTTTAATAGCTACAGTACTGTAGTAGTTGGTCATTCAGCCACTACTATACCAGATAAGGGAATTTTTATAAAAGGGTCAAAGTTTAAAGAAAGAGGTACATGATTGTCACTGATGATGTGAAGATGTAAATTTAGGTGAAGCCAAATGTTGAAAAGTTAGCAGATTTATAAGATTTTATGATCAATACATATGTGAAATGATCGAAATGAACATAACAATGTAATATATAATGCTGAAAATTATAAGATACTGAACATAACACAGGGCTCTACATTAACTTCTTTCTTACATGACAAGCGACCTAGTTATATTTACTTGTCCTTGAAACATAATTTTTACTTTGTCCAAAATTTTTTTCAAAGATATTATACTTGAGACTCCATACCTCATCCTATACCCAGATTGAGAGACTAATCTTAAGTTTCCATTTTTAGGTAATATAGATAGCTGACATGTCCTCAATGACCTCTGGGACCCCCCTCCCGGGGGAACAGACAGATGAGGCCCAGCTACAGGCCAAACTGGAGCGCACGGCCAGCACATACTTCGAGAAATTTTCCACGCCAGCGTTCAGAATTCAAGAGCTGATAGGGTACCATAAGAACCATTGGCTGCTCTCTGATGACTTCAAAATGGCATATGATCAACCTGTTGGGATCATTAAAAGTACTGTCATTTTTTAAAAATTTTTTGAGCTGTATCTGAAAAAAATGGTTAAAAATGACTACAGTAAACACAGTTATAGCAAACAGGATTATACTGAATTAAGACTTGTAGCAAAATGATTTTTATTCCCTGTAGTTTGAAAACATTTTATGAAAGTAATTAAGAGATGTAACGAATTATCTTTATAACAAATGAAAATCATACAGACATGTACCTGTGTACCTGGCATTTCACTTTAAGCATGTTTTACTGTATATGACAAAAGTTATAAGAATCCTTCATATTTAGGAGTGCAGGATGAATAAATCCCACCTATGGGATCACTTATGCAGTATAAGAGGAACTGGGGAAAGTTTGCCAAATCCTAGATGGCAAAATTGATCCCATAGTTGGGATTTATCCTGTACACTCATACTTTAGTTTTTTTTTTGTTTTTTTTTTTGTTAAAAGATTTGCATACATTGTTTGTCATGCTTTTTCTTTCCTTTTTCCAAATCTAGGTCTGAATCCATTAAACTCCAATGTTTGTTGTTTGATGGTACCAGAGGATCCCATTTTGGATGAAAATAAGCTAAATCTGGATTATCGCGAGGTTCACCAGTTGATTCGAGAACTGACTTATGGGATATACGTGTTAAACCAAACTCCGAGCATATCACTGGAGGCTCTTTATGATCAAGGAACCATGTGTAACCTGCCCCCAGCATTTATGGATACACATATTGGTAAGTTATTGATGTAGATAATTTTTGAAATTATGTTGGATGTTAATTGTGTTGTTTCAGGGCTTAATTACCCTTGTATCCAGTAAGTTTGGTAAAAGGTTCCCTTCCCAAATGAAAATTTACTGTTTTTCCCCCAAATTTAAGGTAAAAATTCCCAAATGATAAGCAGATTGAATTTCTCAGTGGCTTTTACATTTTAAAAAGTTTGAATCTTGAGATTTTAATGAATCATGAAGATGTGAATAGGTCAGTCTTCAATTTAACGCCATTTACCAGCAAAAATTAATATATTAAGACACCATGAGTATTTCCAAAGTTTGCCATCTTTTCAATTCAGAATTTATAATTGAAAGGGTAGCGGACCCTGTACCAGAAAGGGTTGATCATTTAAGCCCTGTGTGTAGTGGATGCGCTTTGATGTTACGATGTACATGTATATGATGTGTATGATGACAGTGGTTTGAATCCCATGTGATTCTACTAAATATTGCATATGTTGCATCCTTGAAAAAGTTTTATTTCATTTTGATTTTTCTCAATACTTGGTAATTAAATCTGATAAAAACAGCATGATCATTTTACTAGGATGTGGCCATAGACAATAAAAGAGAAAGGGGGAGCACTCTGTCAACAACAAAATATCATTGAACTGTGAATTTTATATTGCTTTATAGGTCAGTTGTTAATCAGCGTAGATTACATGATGAAGTCATTGTGGCACGGAGCGTACATTCCAAAGGAGAAGCGAACAAAATTTAACGATAAATGGAGAGAACACTTTCAAGTTTCCAAACAGAATGGAAAACCAGAAAAAGAGAAATCTTTCTTACCAGATTTCATCAGTCATGGTAACTTGATCATTAATCAATTCATCTCATTATAAATTAAAAATTGAAAATTTTCACTGTTCATGATAAAAATTCAGTTTTTTCCTCCCATCAACATAATAATCCATATATGATTAGGCGGAATTTGACGAAGAAGTTCAAATAACAGAACTATATTGTTACCGGTATTATGAATTAACAAAACAATTTTATAGCATTTGTTTTGGACACATACTGTGGTAATCGTAATCTTCTTATGATTTGCAATTAGAGTTACGTACTTCCCATTACCACACATTTTTGGGGCCGTGCCATTAAATTGCATGTGAAAAAGTTCTTGGGAAAAAAATTTGATGTGACAGTAATTTTTGAAATTAATTCATAAAGTATTGCATTATTAGCAAACCTATTTCTGTGTATACTCTTTTTTTCTTAAATGTTTATTGTCTCAAAAGAAAGTTGATGTATATCATATCAAGTGAGATGAGGACTGATGGCATTGCCAGATCAGGGATTTTACAAGAAATTGTTTGAATTCAGAATTATTTCGTTTTGTAGGCATGATAGATATGGGCAAGGACCCAGATTACTGTGATGCCTATAACGACCTTCAGTTCGATAACGACAATGATCCAGATATGATTAAAGAACGGATTCATTTCATGAAACACATAGAGGACATTTCTATGCAGATGACGTTATATCAAAAGAAAGTGATGCACGAAAAAGATATTTACATGATGGATGCAGATATGACAATAACGAGCATTGTGCGACTTCTTGACGATCGAATAAATCATGACGATTATGAACGTGTGAATACTAGACTTCAAATGCACGAAAACATGCTACGAGAGAATTTAACCAAGAAATTAGAAATCCGACGACAGCTTTATATTCTAAAAGTTGTGAGCTTTTTGACACCGTTCTTAATTGGAATGAGGAAGAGGATGAAAATTCCGGAGATGTCACGATTTCTTCCCGATCTTTCAGGTATTAATTAATATTTATAGAGTTGATCTGGAACCCCAAAAAATGGTTCGTGTGTCCCACAGTTTCTTTGAAACATTGTTATAGAGTGAACATGCAGGGTGAATGAAAATGGTATCTTAAACTCTTTTGTTGGCAGGCAAAATTTGACCATAGATGCCTTTTTATTTGACAATTTTATAAAGGAATGATAGTCATTTATCCCAATGAGAGCTAATACCTCACTTATAAAAGGGTCATTAAACCTTAAATTTAGCATTTTAATTCTACTTTAAGAGAAACGCTGAAGGAATGGGATAAGGTTAAATGAGATGAGAAAAAGAAATAACTAAAGATTTTTTCAAAATATGAGATTTAGGAACAGGTTTCCTTTGTTCTCAGCCCATCTTCATGCAACCCTCCATTCTAACCTGTTGACAACTTTCCAATATTTTGTTGAAATGACACAAATCTGTTTGCTTGCCACTTAAGCATGACTTCAAGTCAGATTACATGGATAAAAGTTTCCCTTGATGAATTCTTACATAGTTTTATTATTATAAATTTAAGCATTGTAAAATATTTTATGCGTTGTTTACTATATAGGTGTTATTATTCTATGAATTCAATTACAGCTAAAGCTGAACTGCAGGACGTCAATTGATGAAGTTTTTAAAATGTCCATAGTGTGTTTTTATTTGGCCAGTCTCAACAGTTTAAAACTTTGTCACACATTTTAAGAATGTAAACACAATATTTATTTAATGAGGGGGAAATACATTACATCTGTTGACAAATGCTCTTTAAACGTGTATAAAGTTCTTTTACGTTGCTGTTTATAGTTTAAATATCTAATCTCGACGGGTGATGACAGTTTTTTTTTTATTACGATCAGATATCAATATTGAACAAAGCAAGGATTTAAACAATTCGGTCACTAACAAGAAGTTGGATAAGCGTGTCAAATTTATGGCAAGATTTTAGATTGCAATTCTTATCCAGAAAATTGTCAAGCATCAATTATTTTGTATACATTAAAAGTACCGAGTTCATGACATTTTAATTCAGGAAGTCATCACATTGGGCCATCTTTGAAAAAATGTCTGTTAAATGCCCTCTCCCGACCGACTGAGTAAAAATGACCCGACTGACTAAAATGACCCGACTCAAAACTTTTTTAAACCTCCAGGAAATGATAATATTTTTTGTATTCTATCTGAAATTAAAAATATCATCCCGTCAACAACTATTTTAATCTTATTAATACCTTAGATTTTAATACATTGAAAATTAAGCATTAATGTGGAAAATTTCTGAAAACATAATTTTTTCTCTACTTACCTACGAATTTTTTTTCAACCTTGAGTCGGTAGAGGGCATGCAAGCAAACATTTTTTCAAAGATGGTCTTGATAATTTTTTTTTTCATAATTAAGACTTAATTATGGTGTCAATGTCAGGGTGTTGTATTTCAAGAACATTATCATATCTTGTACAAAGAACTCCTTTTATGCAGTCATAGGCATGATAGGGGACCTATATATTGATCAAGAAAGACTCTGAAAAAAAAAGGGTTTGGAGTTCTGTTATCCAAATGCAACTTTAGCTGCAACGGTGCTTTGCATGCTCTCAACGGTTCATTTGCATCAAATCATGAGCTAGATAATTTGCCAGAATCATTATATTTTGGTACATGCCATTAAAAGATGTTTAACTTAAAGTTTGAAAATATTAAGAAGTCACACTGAGAATTACATGTACTTATATTTGTCCTTTGTTTACTTTCCCCAAGTGTTTGCGATAAAGCATATTCTAAGCATTCCTTTTAATTTGGGAAGATAACCATGATAACTTGTTTTTTATAATTTTGATTTTGTAAATAATCAACAAAACTTTAACTTATTTTAGAAATAGATACAGGTAAGGCAGAATAAAAAAAAAGAGAATAGACTGAACAAAATATATATCATTCATATGTATATCCAAGTAATGGAAGGAGCCTGGTTTAGATTAATAGGGTACATATCAATAATTAACAAAATGGTGAATTGAACATCTAAATAAGTATTTCATTACAGTATATATATATATATAAGCTAGACTTTAGAATTGACTAAATTCTGACTTGGAAGGATCAAGGTGCAAAACTCTCTTAAGTTTTTCTAGCATGAGAAACCATCAGGATTGACAGTTACAGTAAAACTTGGTTCCAGAGAAGTTGGCCAGATTAGACAACATTTTAAAAAACCAAATTTACTAAAAGGGACTTTAAGTTTTGATCGTACTTGCCAAGGTTTCAAAATACATAACATCCGGCTTAGACAAGTTTCACTGTTCATGTTTCAGGCCACTTGGGTTCAACTGGACATCCCTGCTCTCTCCATGGAAAGAGTAGGGTATATTTTGCCCATGCTTTGTGACGTTAGTATGCCGACATGTACAGTAAAACTTGACTAGTATGGATGTTGTGTATTCTGAAATCTTGGCTATTTAATCTGACAAATTTCTATGAAAACCTTGGTGACTGGATTAGGTGTTTTACTATATGTCATTTCTAAAATTTGGGATTTCATAAGTGTAGTAAAATTAGGAGTTTTGTGCCTTGATTAATAATCTTTTCAGTCAAATATTTTTGAAATACCTCTTCAATAATCAGTAGTTTAGTCCTTTTAATTTTGTTTCTGTGGGCTAGGAAATAATTTTTTATTATGTTCTCATTTATGTATCGCTCCATTTCAAATTAATTCATCAACACATTCATTATAAGAATATTAAAAAGTTGTCAATTCATCTGATAGAAGGTATACACTGTTAGAAATCAAGATAACTATGTTTGAAATCATGATAATAATAAAATCCTACTCATCCAGTTTCATTTTATATCATTAGGAAGATGACTTTTGTAGAAAGGTATTTTACATGTATCTGTATATATATATTTGAGGAATTATAAAAGGTCATCTTTGCTAGCCTTGCAAGCTTTTTGATCTGCTCCACTCTTCACATATACATGTAGGAATGGAGTGGATCAAAAACAGTTGGTTAGTGAAGCTGACAAAAGAACTGACATTTTAGGCTTTGTTGTTGAATATTTTTCAATATTTACAGAGGACCAGTGTAAAACAGAGGAAGAACTCCCCCCTCTGATGCTTGGGGAGGACTTCAAGTGCAAAAACTTCTACCCAGAGAAAAACAAATACTTTCATCTTCATGGAGGTAAGTCATATTTCTCTCAATGTCACTGTATGATTCATCATTAACAACACACATTGATTCTTTTTTTTTTTGCGGGGGGGGGGGGGGCTTGGTTCTAGATCATGGTAGATAAATTCTAGCGGGCATCTGATTGAATGAGAGAAAAAGATTCCGTAATACTGTAAGCATACTTTTTTCCCCAAGGGGCATAATTCTGAGGAATCATAACTTCTATTCAATCTGTGGAAGGATATAATTATGCAGCTTTCTTCAATTGCCATTGTATGTCTAAGATATACGTAATTTAGGTACACTGGGATTAAATTTCCGCAGAAAATCTGTTACCGTACACATAGCGTAAATTTATCCCAAGTGGAAAGAAGAACATCTACAAGTATGTGCTCTTTAGATACCAGTTTTTCTTCTAATCTTTTTCCTTTGTTTTCTTTTAATTGTCGAAAGACACTTGGCAAGCCTCATATCTTTTGACGATTAAACAGATAGTCATGGAACTTGAGTTGGAGAAAAACTGGTAACTAATTGCCCAAAATATGAACTTATCTCTCTTTAAAAGGAGGACTTAATTATGATTTCACTGACTTTGAAAGTACATGTGTATAACCATAGAATTATGCAGTCTCAATACCGCTTACATTGGATTTTCACAGGCATCAACATCGATTTTGAGACAGATGATCTTGAGCAACCACCAAAAGAAGTCCTTGACAAATACTCAGATATCATGGCAAAAACCGAGCAAGGATTTATCAAGGCTATTTCCATGGATACCATTAAAGAGCATTATGAAGTACCCAAGGTTGAAATAAATGGAAAACAGTAAGATAAAAATTTTGTTGTTAAATTAGTACATTCTTTAGTTTTTGGATATGGTTAAAATACTAGAAACCATCAACCAGCAACCAAGTTTGGTTTACAGTCATTGATCACTTTTAATTTATGTTGTTTAACCTCAATATATTATGATGATTTCATTGCCCCCCCCTTCTCTCTCTCTCTCTTGCATCTCAATCCTTGCTCTTTCCAATTAAACAGAGTCTCCTCCCCCTTTCAATTATAATGTGCATTTCACATTTCTTTCCCCACTGTATGAAATTTATATCAACAGAAATGTTACCAGGCATTGAATTCATTTATCTTCATATCATCATAACTTTAATGAAGATGAAACGTTAACTGAGAACATAAATTTAATAGCTCTATATGCTGTTGCAGGTACTACTTGATTTATATGGAGTTTGAGACCTTCTTTAACCCCCAGCAGCCTACCTGGATAAAGGCCTTCAACTCCAAGCTGACAGTAGACCTGGAGAGAAAGTATCTCCCCCTTCAGGACACACCCATGTGGGACGTATTTATCAAAAACTTTGGCAAGAAAAAGACTGGAAAGTTAAAGGTACTGGTACACCCCCTCTCTTCTCTTAGAAATTAATAACAGTTTACTATACATTTACGAAAGATAGTTGATGTTAGTAATGTTTTATTAGCCAGTATTTATCACATTTATCTATAAAGTCCAGTTTTTTTAATTCAATATGTAAATTTCATTGAAATGTAAAGTTTCAATATATGAGACTTCTACAATAATGATAAAAAGTAATTTTAAAAAAGGTCTGTTGTTGAAATAAAATTCAATGGCTAATATCAAATGGAATTGCTAAGGGTCTAATTTTATTTTTGCTGAAAAAATTAATTTCCCATATGAGTACCGGTAATTTTTCCCAGAGAAAACCAACCAGAAAATCTATTTCTGAAGAAACTTTGTAAGAATTATCTCCCATTAACACTTTTTCTTTCTTCTAGGAAATTTTTATTAAATTCATGGCTCACTTAAGAGAAATTATAAACATTGAATTACCATTCATTACTATGCTATTACATATATGAAATATTCTTTAAAATTACAAAATATTTGAAACTGAAACAGTGTATGTTTCAGAAAAGCAGAAAATAAAATTTATTCTTTGTTTTCCAGGCTCAGATGACTGGACCACGTGCTGCAGCTATTAGGGGACTGGTCATTATTTTCGTACACATGTGTCGTAAAACTCTAGGTCAGCAGATGTCACGGTTGACCAAACAGGACGAGCACGGTCTGTCGCTTCTTCATCATGCAGCCATGAACAATCGACCTCAAATAATTGTCAGCTTACTGCGACAGACGGTGGACATTAACTCTCGACGAAACAATATCCTGTCAACAGGTAAAATATATCTTTTAATTTGGTGTTTTACTTATTTTAATTTATTAATTTAGCCATAAAGAACTTTTTTTAGGATAATAGATTTTATTTTTCAGTCTCTTCATATATGTTATAATTAAGTAAAAAATCTATTACCTATCGTAGGTGAGAAATTTTAAATTTATTTTTGTTTCAAAAATTTATTTCATTGTCCAGTCAGAATTTGAGCATGCAGATCATGAATGTACAAGAAGTTATATGTATTGGCAAGGAATGAATTGGATGTAGTTATTGTCTGTTGTAAATTCTGCAACTGAATTTAAATATTCTATTTCTGAATGTAAAATATATCATGACAGTGTACCCTTCATCTTGTAACTAGTTTGAATTTAAAGTTTATTAAATAAAAAAAAAAATACAATAAATTTTAGAATCAATTACATTTTATCTTCACCTCAACAGGCTGAATTTAGATTTGAAAATTGACAATACATTCCAATTTTGATGACCTATTTCACACAAATTGATGATGTTTTTCCCCAAACAGGAGTTCAAAGTTCAGACGGCAGAAAAGGAGACCCTAAACGCCCAGTTCTCCTAGATATCTGTAAAGTTTCATGTTTCTCCACCCAACCGACACTTTTAGAATATTTCTTTGATGTATATTCTTTGTATACTGTTATTTCTATCTCTCTGTATTTCTTTTGAATTGTTTTATCTACTTTTTTTCTTCTTTTTTTTTTTTAAATTCATGCAAATAAGATCTATGAATTCCATGTCAGTTGGCTGAGAAAGGAATCAATTCGTCAATGATTAACAATTAATTAACTAATATTATATTAACCCACTCTGCAAGTTATTACATGTATGTGATCAATTTAAATGTCTCAAAGTTAAGATGAGAAACAATTTTAAATTAAATCACATAATATTTCCATGGAAGGATTATCTAAATTAAAAGTTTAAATTTTGATTTTAAATAGTAAGATTATTGAAAGAGAGATACATTGATCATGTGGTAACTTTAATCATGCATATTTTCAAAATATGCAAAATGATTTAAAACAATTATTCAACGCTTTGTTTTCTATTTCAGAAACACATTCCATTTCCAAGTTTCTTGATGTTATTTTTTGGTAGCAATTCTGTCTGTTTTCTGCACATGTTCTTTTTAAGCCTAGCTACCCTAAAATAAATGTATGCCATCCCTCCCCAACCACTAAATCAATGTTGTCCTGAGATGTGAAGGCTTATAGTGTACTGAAGTGCCAATTAGCCCAAGCTTGTTTAATTAACAGCAAAATTAATTAAACCATATAGTACATGTATAATATGCTGTATATGTTTAAACCATCAATGCTGTATGCAAAGTCACATTACACTTGCGCATATAGTGGCACATTTTCAAATTTCATTTTTTTTTTTAATGATGCAGAATCACTATTTTTTTGAGCTGTAAGATTTAGTTGTAGTAGGGCAATTATAGGAACAGAATGAACTTTTTTTTCACTAACTTGCAGTTAATGGAATAATTTAGGCTGTAAAAGTATTTATACAGTCATGTATTTAAGTTTTATAATATTTCTGTCAGCATTTCTATGGGCAAAAATTCCTAGTAATTTAAATATATTAAGTAAAACCTGAAGAATGGGATAACGCATGTATTTACAATATAATGTAAAATTTTACAATGATTTTTTTTTTTACTTAGTTGTAAAGAGAGATTCCATGTATAAAGGTAATCAACCTGGTCTGAGTTTTTGTGCAGTTTGTCCACATTTAAGATTGGTCTTGACAACTGACAGGAAATGTAATGCCACTGGAATTTTTTTTTTATTTCCCCCCACTTTTTGTTAAGACCACAAGTGAGGTTAAGAGATTGTGGAGTGTCAATTCACTGTAAATTTACTTTTTCCTACAACGGTATGAATCCGTTTTTAAAACTAATACATGCATGGATTGCTCAACTGTGATTAACAACTAGGAAATTTAGATGACAATGAAAAAGTTATTAACAGCTGTCCAATATAGGATTTTCTTATTGATTATTTCGACATTTAACTTTAGAAACCACTTAGTTTCTAAAACACTCTTAATTTCTATCATGTACGTATCTCTATCTATGGAGTACATGTAATTACATTAAAAGATAAAATCTAATATTTAAATTATCATATATTGCAGAAATTTGTTGATAAGTTTGCTTCAATATGTCTTAATCTGTTTGTTGACCATGGTGTTTGATCTGGTTACCCCCAAGGTGTATTTCAGCACTATTTATTTAATACATATCCTCTACCTATAAGGCAGTGAATATAAACTCCAGAGTCTGAGATATTAAGTAAACGTAATACGGACCGAGAGACAGATAGACAGGCAAGCAGGCAGACAGATGGACAGAGAGACAGGCTGACTGATGTTGTGACTATACATGCATGTACCACTGTTATTTGATGCAGGACATTTTACTGCCATATGATTTTACAGATGATGTAAATATCTAGCAACATATTGTTGTTAATTAGTTATAATTAGTAATATCTATAATTAGAATCTTTCTTATTCTAATCAGGGGAAAGGGAAAGTAGCAGAAAAGCAACAGGTATTCTGTAATGTTCTCTTGTGTATCTTTGAGCATGCTCAAAAGGAATTCCCAGCATGCAATTCTCCATTTCAGCATGTACATGAACTTGTTATACATTTAAGATGAATACATGTGTATGTAACTGTTTATATATCTACTGTGAATGTAAGCATGTCTCTTCCATTATGTTAAGATATTTCAGAACTGTGCATGATACAATCTGAGTATAGAAAATATGTCCTACTTGATGGCCATTTGTGGTAAATATTTTTGTTAATTTTTGAGGAGCATGCCACATAACACTACATCTATATATTTCCCTTGCATTAAACTCAAGATGCATGATTTATCAAGAATTACACAATTAAAAAAATAGTGAACAAGCCCCTCCCCCTTATTTTTTGAGGGGAGGGTTGATATTTTAATGGGATACATATAATTTTTGTTTAGAGAATTCTGAAAATGTATTTACTTTTGCAGGTGTATGTCAAAAAACTCCAAAAATGTGTAATTTGTGTACAAAAAATACAATAACATTGAGCATCCACTGAAATTACCTAATTCCATAAAATTTATCTCAGTAATTAAGGTAATTTATCTCAGTAATTAAGGTAATTTATCTCGGTAATTAAATAATTATGGTAATTTATCTCAGTAATTAAGGTAATTTATCTCGGTAATTAGGGTATTTGTCTCAGTAATTAAGGTAATTTATCTCAATAATTAAAGTGATCATTACAGCTCACGCTACTCACAATCGTGGGGGATATAATGGGGAAAATGAGATCGACATGTACGGGGAGGAAGACAACAATGTGGGACATTATTTACCTGTAAAGATGGGGCCAGGTCTGTTTTGTGTGTCTGTATACAATATAAGAGCTGGACAGGTGTCAATTATATATTTTGTTTTCATTGTGGAAGAGGATTATGTATTGTCTTTATATATCAGAATTTGTTTCATACTCCAGCTTCAAGTATCTGGGTCACTGCTTATGGTGTCATTGTAATAATGCATGCTGATTGGGTATGGTTTATTTTTGCATTTTTTTTTTTTTTTGAGTAATTGTGATCATGGATTAAAATATTTGCTTTGTGCAGGATGAGCAAAACACAATCTTCAGATTTGATCCAAATAATTGACACAATGCATTGTTTTGTCTTTTGTCGGCCGTTAAACAATTTTTAGGTCACCTGAGTCACTCAGGTGGCTATTGCTATCTGTTTTTGTCCAACGTCGGCTGTCTAAAACTTTTGAACATTTTAAGCTTCTTAAAATCTTTTGAATTGCTGAACCAATTTCATCCAATTTTGGCATATAGCATCAGTTGGTGAAGGGGTACAAAAATGGTGAATTTCATGGTCCCTGCCCCCCTGGAGCTTGAGCAATGGGGCTAAAACCATCAAAATTCATGCTATCTTTATAAATCTTCTTCGTTACTCCTTGACATCAAACAGTCAAACTGTTGGCATGATTGTAATAAGTTACTATTTAATTAAGCCCTCTACCAAAATTGTGAAATTCATGGCCCCAGGGTCAGGAGTTCTGGAGTTAGGGAGGGGCTCTAATGATCATATATAGTGAAAATGCATAAATACTTTTAAAATCATTTTGTCTCCCCCTGTATATTTAGAAGATAAACTAGGTGTCTGATTATGATGAGCTAGGGTGCCATTTCCGAAATTTTGAAATTTGTGGCCCCAGAGTCGGGTTCTGGACATAGGATGGGGCTCTAGTGATCATATAGTGAAACTGTATAAATTCTTTGAAAATCTTCTTCCTGCTTCTGGTTATTATGGTAAGCAAACAATCAAACTAAGTGCATTATAGTTATAATTAGGAAATGTGCCTCTTCGTGAGAGAACAAGAGAAACCAATGTGAGAGGTATTGGTATCCTAATAGTGCTGAAGCAGTTCTGTTTTGTTTAGTCAGAATGATGATTGTGACAAATGAGGGCAGGTACAGGCAAGTAAATAGATCATTTTAACATTTGTTACTGTGTTATTGACTAATTATTTTGTTGATCCCAGATCATCTGATTGCTCTTGCTTTTGGGCAACACAATAAGCTTGGATCATCTATCAGTTTAATATTTTTTGTTTTATTTTATACTTCTGTGGATCCTTTACAATGTTGTATTATACTCAGGTGACCGTTTAGGCCCTTGGGCCTCTTGTAATCTTGCAAGGTCATTAATTTTTAACTTTACGAGAGGGTTTAACTTGTAACACTTTAAAGTGCAATGATGGTGATGGAGAATTGCGTTTCTGTCTATTACTTCAATTCATCAATCACAAGCAAGACAATTCAGTGATGGAAAAAATATTGACTTTAAAATTTCATAGGTATTAGTTACTGTAAACAGGCTTATTTTTGTGATAATCATATTTAAGTGCCTTTTGAGCTGCTTTTAAATGTCACCTAATTTAAGTACACGCTAATATAATGTTGTTTTTAATCAAGTGCGCGCTAATTAAATTATGATTTCAAAGTAGAGTTGAAGAAGATTGCGCTTAATTTTGAGTGTGCTAATTTATTACATAAAGTTTTATAATACAAAATTCTTCAGCATGGTCATGTTGATAGGATGGTCTGAAGGTTTATATGGAATGTCACTGCAGCTATATTCATAATAATATACAGTCAAACCTTGTTATCTCAAACTTGATAGCGCCAAGAAAAACTTTGAGATTAATTTCTGAGGGTTCAAGAAATGGGAGTTAGATTGCATGATAAAGGCAGAAATTGGGACTGCACATGCCAACTCACTTTAACACATCCAGATATTAGAGCTATTGTTGTTCGAAGTTAAACTGTAATAATTAAGATGAAGACCTGGCTACGGGGCCATAAAACTTAGACAAGTACACATTTGATCTCAGTTTCACTTTTCTACTGTTAATTCCTTTGGTAAAAGTGAGACTGAGATCAAAAATGAGCTCGTCTAAGTTTTATGGCCCTGAAGGCTGGGCTAATTTATGCTCAAAAGAACATAAATTTCAAAGTTAAATAATACTGCAAAGTTCACAGTTAAGTTTAACAGGACTGTGTTACTGCTGGGGGCATTGTGTTTCCAAAAACTCTGTTTAACTTTTGCTATTTGGCGAATGAAATTTGGTGTAAATGATGACACTGTGTAGCGATTTTTCTTATCCACGTTCTTTTGTCAACACTGCATGCAGATGGCGTGTCAACACAAGGGAATGGTGGGAAATGCTTCAAACTTTTTGTGTGTTTGTAGTAACTAACACATCTAACGATCGATATAAGAATTATTAGCAATAACATGAAAGTAAGATTGAAAAATGGGCATTTTAAAGAAAAAACCCTTAATGCTTATAATAACATTCTAATTGAGACAATGTAACAGTGTAAATGAAACTTGACTTGCCCGTATATATAAACACATTTGCTTGAATAAATGATACTAATTTTAAAAGCAATTGTTGCAGTCTCAAGAGGCAAAATTTACCAGTTTTTTTTTTATCCTCTTCAGTAAATGCTATATGTAGCATGCATAATTTACCATGAATGAGAGAAAAAGATAATTAAATAAAGTAAAAAATAAAACTCTTGACTCTGCAATACTCTTTTGCTGCTTTAATCATTAAACCACTCAAAGATTGGTATCAGTGATAAAAGAATATTTTTCTTCCATGTTGAATGATGGAGTTGTTTCCCCCTTTTTAAGGTCCCACCAGCTTACACATTGCAGCGAGATGTGGCGCCTTGGATGCAGCAGCATGCTTGCTGGCCTGTTGTGCTGGACAGACATTGTACGATCAAGATGGCTGGGCCCCGATTCACCATGCTGCTTTCTTCGACCATGAAGCAATCATCAAACTGATGGCAAGGAGGAATAGCCCCGTGATAGAACTCCTTACTAAAAATGAGTATGTTTTATTAACAAAGAGCTGTACCTGAAAAGAGCTAATTTGAGCCCCTTTTCAGAAAAATCATTACATTAACCCTGAAATTTTGTATGGAAAATCACGATGATTTTTATACTTTCAAATAACACATAAGTTTGATAATTGATTTAGAAACGTTTTTTATGTATTATAAGTTTGTCCTTGATTTTGTTTGAAAAACTAAATTTTTTCATAATTTTTTTTACATTATTGGATTATTTGAAATGGAACCTTATAAAAATGCATGTTAAATAAGGAATGAAGCTTATTTTAACCTATGTTATACGATATAACATAATTTGGGGCAGTTTACGCTTTACAAACCGCGAAGCGGTTTATAAAAAAGCGTAAACTGCCCGAAGTTATGTTATATCGTATAACATAGGTAAAAATAAGCTTCATTCCTTATAATTTAATTTCAGTGTAGACAATAAGACAATTTTTCCTCCAAAAATGACTTCAAATTGAGCATATTTTAAAAGTAATGTCAAGCGGAGTAATACATTTTTGACGTAACTCATTGTGACGTAGGCAACTTATGTTATACTATATAATCGAAATCTTTTATCCAATCAAATGACGTGTTACAACTAAAATTAAATTATACCGTGATGATGAATTCACGCAATGAAGAGATTTTCATTTCCTGTGGTTTTAAAATGTGAATGTATTATGAACTTACCAGGTCTATCAAATTACTCAGTTGCTATAAGCATGTTTTACTGTACTCCAGCATGCTAGAGGTTCATGGCAAGATACTTCTGACTTGGTGCCATGTAATATATGGAGCGTAGGGACGTTAACCGAGGCTCTTACTTGTAGGAGTAGTTTTACTGTACACATACTTGACTGTTAGATCCACCTCTCTATTTCAGTGTAAGATCCACTCCTTTGTTGCTGGCTGCTGGTTCTGGGGGTCTATCAGCTGTTAAGTGCTTGATCAAACTTGGAGCTGACATTTCTCGAGTGGATGCGGAGGGGAATGGTATGATTAATCTAGCTGCCATGAGGTTCCACACCAACGTGTTGGAGTACCTTATTGAATGGGGCCACAAGAAGGCACCTGTTTGGACCATTCTTGTCAGTGAGTATGACAAAACATTCATTTTCTTTTTGCAAGTCTCAAATTTTAAGAAATTGAAGTCAAATGTGGATTTTTTATCCCCTTGCAATGAAGTGGAGGGGATGCTGTTAACCAACTTTTATTCGCGTGCGAGAAATATCCGCGAGTTTCGCGGCCTACTTTAATTCGCGAATATTAATCGCTGCGAACCATTTACTTTTGCTTTGTATTTGTAAAGAATGTTTCCTCAGTCGCGGAAATTTATTGTCGCAGATTAATTTCAAACTGACGAATCGTGAATAAAAGATGGCACGAATAATCATTGGTTTACAGTATAGTAATGCACTTGTTCAGGGTTCGACACTAACGTTAGTCCGTTAGTCTCAGACTAATACATTTTCATTCGGACTAATAAGATATGTGGCTAATTAGTCTGAACGGACCAATAAAAATTTCTGAAAAACAATATGAATAAATTACCCATGTCCGATTCTCGACAACTTTTACTGGAAAACTGGAAAACCCCGCGTGTATTTTTTAGATTTCTTGCTTTTGGCGGGTAGTTACGCAATGCTGGGTCAATTCAGCGCTTAATTTTTCGACTGATCAATATGAAGTATAAGGTTTTAGCAATCATGATTTAGTATGACACTTTTAAGAAAGATGTTCGACATTTTGGATGTAATGTAAAGACAAAAAAAAAAAAAAAACCGAGATCGGGAATACGATCGCACTTGCTGATTGCAAGATTTCAATGAATCTGTGGAATAATATATTTCCCGTAAATACTTTGTCTATTTCAAAAAAATAATATGCATATTAATTGTCACGTTAAATTAATGTTAAAAAACATTGATGTTTCCTTTTTTTTTTTTGACGGACTAATGAAATTGCGTGCAGACTAGTAAAAGTAATGAAGCACTAGTCCGGCTGGACTAAAGCCTTAAAAAGTTAGTGTCAAACCCTGTTGTTTGTGTGTGCCTGAATGGGTGAGTGCATGCATAATGGAAGTAGTAATTTGAATCAAGATTGATGTGCTGTTTTGCAAGGGATATGCTCTGCCTTGGCCTTGTTTTTTTTTATCCTTACATTATATGAAATGAGTACATCATATAAATTTTTGACAGAGATGCTGTCTGATCCTGACACAGATAAGAAAGATAGTGCTGTGAAGTGTCTGGAAGTTCTATCTACATCTAAACCCGAACACTGGAAGTCTATACTGGAAGCAGGTATATATGATAGTGTCTAGAAACCAGAATCTTGTACACTGGAAGTCTATACTTTAACAGGTTGGAGAGAATACTTGAAATCGAGTATTATCATTGAAATCGTGTATAGTCCCCGATATCAGGGTATTGTTGAATCCACGAAATCGGGTATCCTGTGCAACTTTCTGTAACAGCAAAAAATTTAAACAACGGCGCATAATGTCAGTTAGTGTTACATGTACATCAGTATCTTGAGGATTTATTTTTATTGAATCCAGTTTATATGGTTGTCTGACAAGTTTAAAATCACACAACAAACACTGCTGGGGTAGCACAGAAGACACGGTAGCGTCATTATTTTTCAATACAATTTCTAAAAATAAATAATTACATGTCGTTTGTGTTTATTTCCCAATATATTATTCCGAAAGCTTAATTTCCTAATTCATGTATTATTCACAGAATGTAAAACTTTGTAGAATTTTAACGACTAACGCAGTGTTATGTTATTTTTACTTAGAAAAGTATGGCGCCCCTTTCACGTTCAATTAACATTATTCCTCAGTTGGTAAGTATTTCTCATCGATATAGAAAGCCGACGTTATCGTAAGGGGAAAATAAATTAAATGTTAAAAACAAAAAAATAACAAAAAAAAACTGAAAAGAACATATGGGAAAGCAGGTCGAAAAATGATATAATATGAAACAAATTTTAATATGTACATGTACTTAAATAGATTTTTAAAAATATATACAGTGTTTGATTTCTAAAAACAAATAACTACATGTCGTTTGTGTTTATTTCCCAATAAATTATTCCTCAAGCTTAATTTCCTAATTCGCGCATTATTCACAAAATGTAAAACTTTGAAGAAATTTAACAACTAACGCTGTCATATGTATTGATATATAGGTAAAGTAAAGATTATATAGTAAAATCATCAGTTCTTCCTATGATGTATGTATGCAGTGCAGTCCTGTAATTCCCGTGGGAAAAGAGGAGGCGCTAATTTTTTAAGAAAACAAATTAATGTCAATTTAGCATGGAAAATTTCATTCAAAGACACATTCAATGTTTTGCTTGCATTTTGATCGATGCAAGCGACGTTACTTTACCTGTATGTGTTAGTGTGGAAATTGAGAGCAAGAAGTCATGTTAAAAGGATTTTTTGGCTTGGGGAGGGGGGGGGGGGGGTTCATATAAATAAAAAATCCATTTCGGATTCATGTGCTAATTTTATATTCCCAATAAAGAGCTAATATTCAAATATGAATTTTATATTAAAGTTTTCACATATCTTATTTTGTAAATAATTATGAACAAACTGAAATGGTTGAATGTAATTCCTCATTGGATATTAAAATTTCATACAAATTGGAGCCACTTCCTTTTTTTATTATAATATTGGATAGACAGGGTAGATTTTCCGTTTTGTAGTATAGTTTATGGTATATTGCTTTATTATTCCTTTTTATAATATTTTACAAAACGCGTTGTTTGGTTCTAGACAGTACGTCACGCGACATGGAAATAAAACTTCACAACTCACTGTCTTTTTTCTATTCTTTTCATCATTATATTTAGCTATTTTCAATACTTGTCGTACGTGGTAGAAAATAACAGGTTGCTATTTTAACCTTGTATTGTTTTGGTATATAAGCAATTATTGCATGAATGTATTGGAGATATGAAGAATTCTATTCACTCAAAAGGGCAATATAGGGAATATGATTTTTATTAGTTGAACAGATCTTCCCCCTTCATCATGCAATGAATATATAATATTCAATGACGTTTAGCACCAAACTCTGCAATGAAATTTTATATATATTTTTTTTAATTACTTTGGAAGGGGGTGTCCCTTGAACACATGCATAACACATTCGAAGTCGTTTGTTGCTTGTCTGAGATGGGCCGAGTAGTTGCGATCGGACAAGAAATAATTGAAAAATGAATTTTTCCCTAGTAATCAGTAATAACAACCCCCCGAAATCGCCGAAAAATGGTAAGATATTGCCGACTCAGCAAAATTAAACGATCAATAGTTATTTTCTCTCACAAGCTGTGTTGCTAAGAACATCATTGTCGTTGCTAAAACGTTGGAGGCATGTTGAATCCTAAGGAAATTTTAATTTTTTTTTTAATTACCTTTATTTGTCATTCTCTTTTTGTAAAGCATATGTACTGGTACATGTACATGTACAAGATGGAAGGAATGCTATTCTGCATATATGTATATATGTAAATGATAAAAAAAATCAACTCATGAAAATAGATTAGTGCCCCCCCCCCCCCCAAAAAAAAGAGTACGTGTGTACGTGTTATATTGGATTTTTAGCCGTAATTTGAAACATCTTTACCATAAAATAGTTTATACATTTTACAATAAATTTGATTTTATGCACAAGATGAATGTGAAAGCAATTAATGACGCATAATTGGATACGTTAGACAGTCCCCTTTTCACACGTGGATTTATTTTGTGTGTGAAATGTGTTTCCGTATAATTTGAGTTATTTACAAAATGTTCATGTTTGTCGTATTGATATCGAAATATTATAAATTCCCGACTTTGGATATTTTACAGTTTTGTTCTGTTGGGTATGACTTTGAAGAAGTTGCAAATACTTTTAACATTATGAAAAATATAAAGCAGAAGGAACGCCTGTTTGGGTAAAGATCATGAAATGCATGAAGCTCCAGGGGTATTTGTTGTCATATGCGCATTAAATAAGACTTCGAGATCGTTACTTGGCTAGTGATACCTTAAGATAACATTCATCTCTAGGTGAAAATTGACTCGGTAAAATGCGCCATCCCATTGTTTAAGTTTTATAAAGTAATTACACCGCCTATACCCGATTTTGCGGATACAACGATACCCCGATTTCAGGGACTATACGCGATTTCACGGATAATACCCGATTTCGAGTATTCTCTCCAACCTGTTTAAGCGGTAAATATGATAGTGTCTAGAGATCCTGTCTGTGTTTATAAACCTGAACACTTAAAATCTATGCTGGAAGAAAGTAAATATTAAAGTGTCTGGAGGGTCTTGTCTACATATAAACCACAGCACTGGAATTGGATACTGGAAGCAGAGGCCTGTTCAACAGAGCAAACGTTCTCGAGCGCTCACCAAAATTCCTTATCCCTCCAACAGAAATGTTCATGAGTGCTCGAGAACGTTTTCTCTGTTGAACAGGCCACAGGTAAAGTAGTGTCAGTCTGGAGTTATCTTCAATCATTTCCAACTTTAGAGGTCATGGAAGCAGGTACAACAAACTTAAAAGAGTAAAACTATTGAAACATTTTATGTTGGCATGATTTTAGGGTATTAGCATTGTCAAGTAAAATCATCATCATGAAACAGCATGAACTTTTTACTAAAATCTTGATTTTGCTTTTTCAGGTGGAATCCCTGCGTTGGTGGGCTTACTCCACTCAGACAATGAGGTGCTGCAGTCCGTGTCAGCCTCAGTCATTGTGAACATATCAGAACACCAGGAAGTCAGAGAAGCCTTAACCAAAGCCAAGGCTGCTCCTATTCTTATCCAGTTACTGAATTCTCCTGACGATAATATCCAGTCACGTGTGGCTATAATTCTTTCGGACATTGCAAGCATCCAGGGGAATCAGTCCCTGATTGCTGAGGAGGGTGGAATCCCCCCACTGATAAATCTGATGGACTCGGAGTTGGAGGAGGTGTTGATTAATACGGTGAATGCAGTCCGGGTATTGTGTGCAGGGAATCCAGTCAATCAGGACGCTGTGGCAGAAAATGGTGGAATTGCATTTCTTCGAGAGTTTCTAACTCTAGATTCAGGTTAGAATTGCAGTAGCTTATTATACCCCCCTTCGAAGAAGAGAGAGCATATTGCTTTGCTGGTGTGTGTTGGTGGGTCGGTCTTTTGGTCGGTCTGTCGGTCCATCTACAATTTCCGTTCATTTTCTTCGCAGAGGTTGCACATACTGAAAAGAAATTTGGTATACAGATTTATCATAAGAATATCTAGGTCAAGTTCTGTTTTGGGTACAATCAAGCAATTTTTGACAGAGTTATGCCCCTTGGACTTAGAAAAATTCCAATTATTTGCAGTTCCCGTTCATTTTCTTGGCAGAGGTTGCACATACTGAAATGAAATTTGGTATACAGATTTATTATAAGAATATCTAGATCATGTTTCGTTTCAGGTACGATCAAGCAATTTTTGATAGAGTTATGCCCCGTGGACTTAGGAAAATTCCAATTATTTGCAGTTTCTGCTCATTTTCTTTGCAGAGGTTGCACATACTGAAATGAAATTTGGTATACAGATTTATTATAAGAATATCTAGATCATGTTTCATTTCAGGTACGATCAAGCAATTTTTGATAGAGTTATGCCCTGTGGACTTAGGAAAATTCCAATTATTTGCAGTTTCCGCTCATTTTCTTTGCAGTGGTTGCACATACTGAAATGTAATTTGGTATTATACAGATTTATCATAAGAATATCTAAGTCAAGCGCTGGTTTGGGTACGATCGAGCAATTTTTGACAGAGTTATGCCCCTTGGACTTAGAAAAATTCCAATTGGGGGGGGGGGGGGGATAAGTGTTTCCCAAACATCTCTTGTTATGCCCCGTGGACTTAGGAAAATTCCAGTTATTTGCAGTTTCTGCTCATTTTCTTTGCAGAGGTTGCACATACTGAAATGAAATTTGGTATTATACAGATTTATCATAAGAATATCTAAGTCAAGCTCTGATTTGGGTACGATCGAGCAATTTTTGACAGAGTTATGCCCCTTGGACTTAGAAAAATTCCAATTGGGGGGGGGGGGGGGGGGGGGCATAAGTGTTTCCCAAACATCTCTTGTTTTAATCTTCAGTTGCATTTTCTGTTTACTAACAATTGTGAGATGTGGCAAAATGCATGTATTTGGACAAGTTGAGGTAATATTAAATGTATTTTTCCATTTTCCAGAGAAACTGAAGGCGGCCACTGCAGCTTGCATTGCAGCGATTTCGGCAGGAAATAAGAAAAATCAAGATGCCTTATTAGAAGCAGGGGCTTTGGAGTAAGCATAAGTTTTCTTTACTTTGTTTTCCTATTAATTTGTCCCTTTCAAATCCGTGAAATGAACAATTTCAGTTGGAATCATCAAAAATATGTTGATTCAATGGAAAATGACAAAATGGTCTTTTCATCACTAAAATGAAAATTTTTATGACAATTAATTTCTCACAGATGAGAGAGATAAAAATAAATTCAAGCCAATTTTTTTTTACCATATGGGGCATAATTTAATGCAATTTATTGATTGAAGATTAAGATTTTATAAAGAAATCCCAAATTTAGCTTTTGTAAACCAGTTTTTGTTAGCATGCAAGCAATAATCCTTAAGTTTTACCTCCCGTTCTTTTAATTGATACGAATAAAACCACTGTGAACAATTCTTTAAATTACGTGATTGTATCTATTTGCATGTATGTAGAAACTTTAATAATACAGAAGAATTATGAATAAAAGTTAAGCAATACATGTAATAGTTGGTTTAAAGTATACTAGAATTACATGTATGTTAATTATTATAGAAGAAATTTGTAATTTTTTAAATTAATTTTTTTTTAATTTAAAACTCACAGACCACTTGTTGAGATAATTAATGGTACAACCAATGAGACCGTCAGGGTCAAGTGTGCTAATGCCATCGAGGCTCTAGCCCAGGACAACCCAGCCTGTCAACAGACATTCCTACGAATCAAAGCCCCCACAGCACTCAAAAAACTCCTCAAGGTAACAGTCCAAAGACTGGAAATATTTTTTTTTCATTCAATGCAAATTCTTTTATACATTCCTGGCCAGATTCCTGTTCTGTTTGTATTCCATTAGCACCATTGAATTACTAAACAATGATGTAAAATTTTATTGAAAAAAATTTATATAAAATTAATATACTTCACTTTACTCTGACAAGAAAAATATTAATGCAATTCTTACAATACCATACTTTAAAGTTTGAGGTAAAATGCTGCCACATATTACAATTATAGGAAATTTTGTGCCACCTAGAATTGTTGAAATTCAATTGTAAGCAAAGTTGAGACTTTATTTTTTTGACATTGTAGAATTTCAATGTATCAGTGAAAGAGCACGGTGCCAAGGCTTTATGGGCTCTAGCAGGAAACACCACGACTCAACAGAAATACATCGCAGAGAAAACCAGCATCCCTGACATCTGTAGTATGTTACTGGAGGACACAGAAAAACTGCTTCAAGTCGGTAAGCAGGACAGGTCAAACTGTGGTACTCTATTTCACAGTCTCATTTTGATCATAGGTTGTTTAAAGCCACAAGTCAGGTATCAATATTTAAACAGTTTTAAGTCATAAGATAATTAAAAATCAGTTGTAAATGAGTTTCACACAGTTCAGAATTCTGACAAATTGTGTGAATTAATATCTCTTGTGAAAAGTGGAAAGGTGTTTCATTTTGTAATTATAATATATATTCTTCCTTGAAGTAGACCCATAAAGACATTTGAAACTTATAGGTACTTCATGTACAACTTAAATGTACTGATCATGCAGATATAAGATCTGAGTTGCCTTCTGTATCCTCAATTGAATGCTCATATTGTATGTAGGTTGTATGATGTCAATTGCTTTGGGAAGAGAAAATATAGAGAACCAGATTAAACTGGCTCAGACGGAGGCTTTCAATCAATTGGTTCGTCTGCTTAGGACTCACAAAGACTCACCGCAAGTCATACTCATGGTCATACAAGTGCTTGGAATTCTGTGTGTAGGTAAGTGCAATCAGTCATGCACTGTACAATTTAAGCCTAAAACTTGAATCATTTTTTTAAATCATTCAGTATTTAGTACCAGTACAGTTAAGTACCAATGACACAGATGCTTCCCCTTCCAGATGAAGTTTGAGGGTGACAGAATTTACATTAATTTTATATACATATCCAACAAAACATGTTTCAGTAATTCAGATCTCAATTGTCAATCTGGACAATTTGCATGGGAACACAAGTATGCAGATTAAGGAAGCCCAACTGTATACAAAAATAAAAAATAGTCGCATACATGTATAGTGCACATACCTTCAAACCCTTTAAAATACCAGCAGTACAAATATGTACTGAAGACATACTTTTTTCCATGTGGGATTTATTTACGCTATGTACTTGTCACAAAAATTCCGGGGAAATTTGTCACAGTGTACCTAAAGTAAAACCAAGACATACAGTGACAATCCTAAAAATCGGCATAATTTTCTACCAGCGGATTGAACAGAAATATTATTGTTTTTCTGTGGAGTTATGACCCCATGGAAAAAAGTATGTGTACAGTATTATTGTCAAAGTTATAAGATAATTTAACTTGTTTTGCTAGGTGTTGCCTATTGCAACAACAAAGTGACACAGAGGAAGATAGCAGAGGAAGGAGCCATACCGACCCTAGTGACGTATCTAAATCAGCCTCCTTCAGAGGAAGTTCAAGTGGAGGTTGCCATAGCACTAGGTTGTATTGTCCTTAGCAACACCCGTAACCAGGAATTACTGCAGGAGGAACCAGGCTTTAATTTTGATGTTCTCCTGGATTTGTTAAAGTCAAAAAGTGAGGTAAGTTGAAAGAAATACCTGAAGAAAGGAAGGTTGATAAATGTCTACCAATCTTTTGTTGGTACTTATACAAGCTTGTCTGGAAGCCATTTTCTTTCAGATTTCTTTTATGCAGTAAATTAGAATTTTATTGTGCAAATTCAGGTATCTAATTATAGTACTTGTACTTCCCTATAATATTTCTAATTTCACTTTTTGATTTTTGTTTTGACAGGCAATAAGATTAAGGGCAGGCATGGCTCTGACGATTTTTGCTTTCAACAACACCCCTCAGCAGTATGCAATCAGGGAAGCGGGGGGCATCAAATACTCAGTGTTCGAGCCTTTCCTTAATTCCAGTGTAGAGTATGATGTCTGCTATGCAGCTTTTCAGGTACAGTTTGATAGTCCAAGAACTAATATACAGGAGAGCATATTTGCCCCTCATTGTTTTCATCTTACGTCAATTGTAAACAATCTTGACTCATTTTGATTTTGCCTACTGTTGGCAAGGGCAACAAAATTCAACAGGAGCAAAAATATCCATTGCATGTATTAGTGATGAAATGTTATTATCAGCAATTTTTTTTTATGAATACTTTGTCTTTTGGCTGTACCATTAAATCTTAAGAAATTCCTTTTCATAAACAGATTTACATACCAGTAGTAAAAAAAAAATATTTATTGATCCTTTTCAGATTGTGGTGCTAGCACGAGTTATAGTGGACCAAGACCAGGTTAACTTAACGGCCCGTGGGGTGACCCTTCTTGTTGAGAAACTTCACTCAAAAGAAGACAATGTCATTGTTTTAGCTGCTAGTCTCCTCTCCAGCCTTGCACACACTCGTGCGGGAATCCCCGATGCCATGGTGACCTCAGGGGCTATTGATATTTTAGTCGATAAACTCTCCTCTCGGAACGACCAAGTCAGGAGTGCTTGTGCGGTTGCCCTTGGATATTTGACCTTCAACAGGACTGCCGCAAGGATTCTGTTTAGTGCTTGTAGAAATACACCGGGGTTGTATAAGAAACTTGAAGAGAACATTGGGAAAAATGCCAAAATTAGTCAGGAGTTTGTCCAAGATTTTAAACGTGCTAAAATTGTGGGGCTACCTTCCCAGTGGTTAGTATACGCCAAAAACATATTGTCAGTTTAATTATGAAATAAAAAATATAGCTGAATTTCAGATTTCAAAAGGGAGATAACCGTGCATGGAAACACAGTTTCTTTTTCTTACTATACCATGTTTTTAATATCATACAAAAAGAAATAACATGATGATAAAATCACACTTTATAAATGATTTCATTAAATATGCATTATTATAAATAAATGTAGAATTTCGTTAAACTAAACCTTGAAATATATAATCATGAAAGAGTCAGCGACATAACTTAATTGTTGTCACTCTGTCAAATCTATGCTACTTATCTAATAATGCATATATTAAAATACTGTACAGTAATTACTCTGTCTGTCAGTCACACAGTGATGGTAACTTGAGTGCAGTTTAAACTGCTGAATTCATAGTCACTACATGGGTGGAAGATTATTATTCCAAGATATTGGGGGGATCACTTAGTCAAAGGTCAAGGTCAAAATTTAAAGTAAATGCTGTGACCATTAGACAATTATCTGTTGCAGCAAGGTCAAAATATTTCCAAAAACACAGCTTTATGCACAAAAAAAAGTTTTAAAAATTGGGCATATTGTAACATGCAGGTCTCATATTTATTACACAAAAATAAATATTATTGATACCTTTAAATTTTGAGGCCACTTGCTCAAAGGTCAAGGTCATTGGGTAAAGATTATTGTTTTAAACACACTTTTTGCAGGGCTTGATTTGTATGATTATGTCATGAGTTTCCTATTTATACTAATTTTAAAAAGTAGTCACTGATAAATGAACAAATTTAAAGATTCATACTAGTCTTATGATATGAGGCTCACATTAGCTAGGTCAACTTTGTGTACAAAATTATTTCCTGAACCTTCATCCAAACCATAGAACAAAATCTATACTATTAAAAAGTAGACTTTAACGCTGTGTGCTGTAAATTATTTCAAAGTCCTCCTACTAACATATTGTCACTGTGTCATATATATGTATAGTCACATATATACTACTCACTAAGAATTTATTGCATTATTGATATCATTCATACAATGTGTTCGTAACATATCAGGGCTCTAATTGGCAACTAATTTAGTCACCATGGCGCCTAAAATCTTTGATTTGCTCCTAAAATTTTTCCATAAGTCGCCAAATTGGCAACCATTTTAAATTGACTTGGCAATCGTCGAATTCCGGAACTTTTAACATTTTTTATTTTTCTGAAGAAGCGAAAAGAAATTTTAAAAAAGAGGAAATCATTTTTAGCAATAGACATGTGTTTTCTTGGTCACCTTTTTGTTATTTAGTATGCAAATGTCCTCTATTGATTACTATTAACTTTTAAAAAAAATTGCCTGGCGACTAAAAATTTGCATTGGCGACTAAATTTTTTGGAATAGGCGCCAGCTGGCGCCCAAATTTTAGCAGTCACTTAGAGGCCTGCATATGTATTTTCATCCTGTGTTGTAAAATCTTTACTTGTGTAACATGTGATGTCAGTTTGACCTCTGAACTTTGTTGTAGTCTTGAGATTAATGGTGGACCCCCAGTAATCCCCCCTAGTCGAAACAGTAAGTAACATTTATCTCCCTTTAATGTAAACTTTGTACCTTTTCTACCTCTTATAATAGGAGAATATCAAAATATTGTACATGTATCTTGAACTTGCAGTCAGTGTATGCTCATGCTTTAAGAGAATTTATAAAATTGAATGAAAGACTTGCCTACTTTGTAGGAAATTTGAATTGCTGATACATGGCTTAATTAAGTTTATTGTCTTTGTAGTACTATAGTCAAGTTAAAAACAAAACAAAAAAAACAAAAATAAAAAATTATAAGAATAGTGATATACATTGTACATGTGTGTATTTGTTGTTGGAATTTTTTCAAAATGCAATGAAATTCAAGACATATTTTTTTTAATCCGGAAAAATTGCATGTGTTCAAAAATTGATAGACAATTTGTGATTGTCAGGAAACAGGATGATTGTCAAAAATGTGCAACACGTAGGAAACTGTATAGTTATGCAATAAAATGTGTGTCAGCTAGAAAAAATGGTTACGCATATTCATAACCTTTATTAATTTAACACAATTTTGAATTTTTCAGGTATGAGACCACTGACTGGCTCGATGAGCCGAGCTACGACAGCCCGAGCTACAAGTCGAGCCAAATCAGCCCCCGGACAGCGAGGGAAAAGGTCGCCTAACCCCAGTATAGTTGTAAGTACCCCCGACAACAGTCGCCCCTCCACAGCTGCCACCGTCCTGATCCACCCCAGCTCTCTGTTCAGACCCGCTAGTGCCACCACTCCCAGCAGAAAAGGGGTTCGATCCCCCGACCCCACGTTTAAAACTCGTTTATCTTCGTGGAAGGAGGAAATATGAGTCTCAATTAATTTTATTTAGCTGTTAACTGTGTTCTAAGTTATAAATAAGCAGGAAACGTTTTTGGTCATGTCTTCAGATTATGAACTTTCAAGACAGATTTAGTTTATTATCTGAGTTTTGGGGTACTTTGAACAAAGTTAAATTTATTTTCAGATTGAAGGTCATTAGCTAGCTCTTACATTATGTATTTTTGTAAGAACTAATTTACTTGTTTACATGAAGTATAGTGCAATCATTTAAAGGGGAATAATTCTTACATGAAACATTAAGCCGGAATAGGTCGATCTTGATGCCTGTTTATAATTTTGTTTTCAGATTTATTTTTTATTCTATTTTCAGAGTTTTAATGTTCAAGAGAAAAATTTGAAATTAAGTAAGCGATCAACAATGGCATAAAATTTAAGAACTTTATTATTAGAGATAAAAAAAAAAATGAAATATTTTTAAATGATCACAAAATCAAAAATTAAAATTGGGAAACAAAACATTGAAAAGGCCGGCTGAATTCTACTTGAATTTTATGCCATATATTGACTGAAATTTTCTGTATGCCTCTTTTTTTTTTTTTTTTTTTTGAGCCAGTCACACTTGAGTTTAAAAAAAAAATTGCATGCACAAACTGGATTTTTGACACTTTTAATATATATTCACCTAAATATATTAATAAATGTTTTGTAAAATGAAAAATCAAAGCTACATGTACTTACATAATTAGATCTTATAAAACTATCAATTTTTGAAATTTTAAAAATTGTTCAATTTTATCTGCCGTAATTTATGATGGCTAGCAATTATTACAGTTTGTAGATTTGCTTATATAAGCGTTGCCATTCACCATTGCTAAATGACTCAACTTTGCTGCACAATTGTAAAGCTATAGTGTTCCTATCATTTTACATGTCTGATTACAATATTAGTGATGTGAGAATGTCTCATTCATCACACTCAATTGTACATTGTGAAATTTTTGTTGCACAGTTTAAGCATTTGAGTTTTGTTTATGCATGTTGCTGAGATGTGAAAGTTGCATGTTGCTGTATTTGGCCTGGGCTGCTAGTATTCATTTTGCAAATTGTGATTGACAGCATATTACCAATAAATTTTAATTCCATGGCAAAATGTCAACAAAATGGCATATCAAAACAGAATTGTTCTCAGGTCCTGGGGAAATAATGTACATGTAATTGCATTCCTGGAAGTTGGTTGGGGGGGGGGGGGGGCTGAAAATTGAGACATTTGTTCATGTGCACATGTATGTGTGTAAAACTTTTGGATTCACCCATTGAAATTTGTTCACCTTGAAGTGATACCTTAGCAATCACCAGTATTTATTAATTAATGTGTACACAGATCTCACAAAATCAGGAACTTTTTTTAACAACAAAATTCAGTATTGATAAAATTTTTAAACACCAACAAATCTTTTTTGTATTCTCTTTTTATTTGAAATTCTTATTTATAATCATTGAAGCTTCATAAATGCACAGACAGATTTTTGAATCTGATAGTTCATAGAATTTAATTCGAGATATTATTTTTACTTCTGCACCTTTTAACTTTGCAACATAAATTACTAAAATATGCAAGTTATAGATAATATGCTAAAAATTAGAATAAAGTTGTCTCAAAGAATTCTGTGATATCATTGCTCTGAACTTTGATGGATCAAAGTTTAAAAAAAAAGTAGATGTTTAATTTTGATTGAGCCCCATACATATGAAGGAGAAAAATTTTCAATTATGAAGACATTTTGTAGAATAAAAAATACATTTGTCTGTACAAGTCTGTTTTTATATACATGTAAAATCATTTAGATATTTCAAAGTATAGTAAATATAAACATGGATAGAACAATTTTGCTTCAGAATCTTACATCTTTTGATACAATATAGAATTTTTAAACTTAATGTCCAGTAATTTTATTTGTGTTGAATTTGGATGACATTTTAGCTATAAATATAGATTCATGCCTATTTTTAAACTAGTCTGTAAAATATACATTTTTTTCAGCTGATTGCTAAGATGTATCTGATCTTATTGCGTGTACATGTATATTTATATCAATTTTATTTACAACATGTATTTTGTTATTGACTGTGATAAGTGCTTTATTTCCTCTGTTGTATATTTTATACATTCATCATTATTTAATTCACTGTTACATATTAGTATGCACAATTTGTTTTTAATATGTATTTTAAATTTTACATAATTTTTTTTTCAATTCGGAGAAAGACCAAATTTATAATAAAGTAGAATATGATTGAAATGTTTTGTGTTAATTATAATTCTTTTAAATACTGAATTGCAGAATTTATGTACAGTACATAAATATCTTTATGAGGACAGCTAGAAAATGATTACTAAATATATTGAACTTACAGGGATACTCCGATGGTATATGACTTTGCCAAATATCAAAAATTAGTTTATGTCCAGTTTGTCGTGATGGTTTTGTACTGTCTGGTGACAAATACAAAATTATGTAAACCAGAAGTCTCTGACGAGACTGTAGCTCTACTGGTTTGTACTTATAACAAAGGAAGAGAAAAGTAGCACTTGGACTTGAAACTTTGCAACAGCAATAAATAGAATAATGATCTTTGGTTTAGTCTATTTTTGTGGCAAGATTTATTGCAATCAGACTAAAACTGTAGGAGTAGAAGCCTTTTGAGAGAAGTTTACAGAAATTTCTATGTTTAGTAGCAATGGCAACACCATTCATCAAAATCAAAACAGAATTATGAACCTAAGTGTAGTCAACTTGCATGCAAATTGATATTGAAATCAGACCCAAACTTTAGGAGGCGTACCGTTTTCAAAGTATTTTAAAGAAAGTTCTATTTTTAGTAATCATGGCAACACTGTTCACTGAAATCAAAAACCATTACACAGAATTATGTATCTTAGTGTAGTGTACTTGTGTGCCAAGTTATATTGGAATCAGAACAAAACTGTAGGAGGAGTAGCATTTCGAAAAATTGTTTACAGACAGACAGCTGGACACGTTACTATCGCAGAAGCTCTTCTGGTCTCTGACCAGTAGAGTTAAAAAGCACAAATGTACTAGATCATAGTCACTCAGAAGACCTATTGCTGTTTGTTTTGTCCATTGTCGTCAATCAGTCGCAAACTTTTGGAACACTTTCAACTTCTTCTCATTAATCTCTGAACTAATTTTAACCATTTTTTTTAAAAGCCAATTTTGGTATGTACCCCATTAGCATATATAGGTAAAGGAGAAAATAAATTTTGAATTTCATGGTCCCTGAACCCCAAAACCTGAGGGGTAGGGCTATAATGATCAACATCAATGCAATCTTTAAGAATCTTTACTCTTAATTGGAATCAAACTTGGCATAATAGTAATAAGCATATATTTAGCAGACAAACTAAGTGCATGGTCATGATGAGCAAGCTTGGGTGCCTCTTCCAAAATTGTGAAATTTTATAGCCCCTGGGTCAAGGCTTCAGGAGTGAGGACAGGACTGTATTGATTATATAGTAAAGATGCTTTAATTCCTTGAAAATCTTCTTCACCAGTCCTGAGCACCTAGGAGGCAAACATAGCAAAAATGTTTTATGAGAAAGGTTTTTTCCCCTAGATTTATAAAATTCTTGACCACTGGGTTAAGGATTTTGCTGCTGGGCAAGGCCCTTTTAATCTTAAAAGGAAATATATATACACTTCTTTGAGAGAAGTTATCCCCCTTTGTCGTTAACCTATGATACATGTAATCAGTGTAAATTTAAATTTAATGTAATTGACACATTTATTGAATAAAAGAATAACACAAGAACTTTTAATGTATATAACAAAAAAAGTACTAACTAATAACTATATGAAAAATTAATTTATTATTTACATTAAAAAATAATAATGTAAAAGATATAATGGATTCCATCATTGTACAGCAATGATTAATAAATAATATAAAAATTGTGTATATACATGTACATCTATATCATTTGCATCTTATTCAATATGTCAGAACTCCAGCCCATCCCCCTCTAGATCTTATGTAAGACCCCAGTATAAACAAATCTCCAGAGAGAGAAAATATTTATGTCATTTACCTGCAGACACAGACTTGGGGGGGGGGGGGGGGGCAGACCCTCCACCACCCCCACCCCATTCTAAGCTGACCATGTACATAGTATTGTATATATAGTATATACATGTATGTGCAAGTTTTGACAAATTAATGATAGCTTTCACACACCATAACACAAATTCAAAATAGATTTTCCCTTTTTCAAACTTGTATGAAGTTTTTCCTGAGGAATATTTTTTTCATGTATGATACCCATAATTCATCATGGCAACTTGTAACTATTTAATTTTTTATACTACGTGTAAATGCACTCACAAGCAAGTATTCACTTCAGGTGTGTTTGCTATATGGAAGTACATTTAGCTGGGTCAGGGATTGAGAGAACTAAACCAGTGAAACTTGGTGTCATATTTATTAACCATAGTCTATCCCTGCTTCCTAACTAATGCACAAGAATCCACATAACACAAGCTTTGGAGTTGTGTATTGTCCAGATTTGGGAACAACTCCACACCAGTTCTCTTTTGAATTTCCTCTAGTGAAACTTGAAACTCCTTAAGGGAATACTTGTTTTCTATTGGCTGATTGGGCACAATAAAGCAGCCAATGGCTGAAGGAACTCCATTTGTTTCCACGACAATTACTTTGTATAGATGAGTAGGTACAGCCACTTCATTTTTTCCAATCACCTTAATAAAGGATAATTTAATTTTAAAACATGCAAATTTAATCAAGATATTGGTAATTGAAACAGTACAATTTTGCAGCAGATTTTCCTAATAATTAGGGCCCCACTCTGTGGGTGGCCTATGATGATCAGTCTTTCAATCCATCTGTCTGTCTGCTTTTTTGATTGAAATTTGTCCGTTAATGTCTGAAGTTTTTGTTGTAGTCCTTGTTGGCCTCATTGTTGTCGTCATAAAATTTTCACTATATATTTCATCTTCTCCAGAACCACGAAGCCAATTTCAATCAAACTTGGCATGTACAGAGTATACTTGGGTGAAGGGGATGCAAATTTGTTAAAAAGGATATTTCCTCTTGAAAGAGAACATAATAAAGAAAGCTAGGGCAAAAAAAAAAAAAAAAAAAGAAGGTAGGTGTCATGAAAAAAAATCTTCTCAAGAACCACTTGGCTAAGAAAGAAAAATTCTTCCTCCTAAGAACAGCAGGACCAGGATTGGAAATAATTAATATGCAAGCATCCTTTGTTAAAAAGGACATTTCCTCTTGAAAGAGAACATAATAAAGAAAGCTAGGGCAAAAAAAAAAGAAGGTAGGTGTCATGAAAAAAAATCTTCTCAAGAACCACTTGGCTAAGAAAGAAAAATTCTTCCTCCTAAGAACAGCAGGACCAGGATTGGAAATAATTAATATGCAAGCATCCCTAGGTAGTGTAGTTTCAAGTTTGCTCAAATCATGACCCCAGGGGTTAAGGTGGGGGTCAATGTTCTTAACAAAAGTAAGGCTAAAGAGACTCTGGTGAGCATTGTAGCCCATGTGCCTCTTGTCCAGATTTATTTTCTTTCATTTACCCAATCTGGCTCAAACTATACCCATAGAAGTTCTGTGGGTAGAGAGTGTCCAGTGACCTTGAATCAATTTTCTAAATCAAAGGTCAAGGTAAAAAAGAAATCTTAGTGTAAAAACCTTGTCATGGGCATATTTTTTCTCCCCTTGACCCCTTAAGGCTTAAGTTTATCTAAAGAGTATCCATGGATAAAGGTGTATATCAAAAGTCAAGGTCCAGGTTAAAATCTCTGTAAAATCCTTCTTGTGAACATATTTTCTCTCCATTTTTTTCCAATCTGGATCATTTTTCAACCAAAGAGTAAAATGTGTGCAGTGACCTTGGTTTCTACCGTAAGTAAAAGGTTCAGGTCAAAGCAGACCTCTGAGTAAACAAGAGGTTCATGGGCCACAATGCTCACCTGAGTTATTATGGCCCTTCTTGATCTTCATCAACAGAATCTTTTTTTTCCCTATATATTCTCATGTAAATCTTGATCACCAATTGTAGCCCCACCCATCCTCTGATGTCATGATTTGAATAAACTTTAAATTTACAGTACCTGTGAGGAAGGTTATTTTTAATAAATATGACTGCATGATCATGGCTTTGCTGTTCTTGAGAGGATTTTTATGATTTTTTCTATTTAAACCACTGTAAAACTTTGATTGCATGCCCATAGTGGCCCCACTTTACCCCCTGAAGTCATGATTTGAACAAAACTGAATCTACACTACCTATTGAAGCTTCCATAAAAATATGACTGATCATGGCTTTGTTGTTCTTGAGAAGAAGATTTTTATGATTTTTCCTGTTTATAATGCTGTAAAACTTTGATCACCCATACTGGCCACACCCTACACCCGGGGGTCATGATTTAAACAAATTTGAGTTTACACTACCTATGGATGCTAGCTTCCATATAAATTTGAGTGTTCATGGCTACTTTTTGTATGACCCCTAACCTTTTAATCAGTGGCTATCAAGTAAAGTATAGGTATGATGTACCCAAACAACCAGATCTCTACTGGATGTAAATCAAACTTACTGGATACACAACGAGTTTTTGACCTCTCTCATTGGTTTCTGTTGGAAGAACAAGTGGTCCACTGATGATTTGAACACTGTCAAACTGCTTGGTCAGATGTCTGCAATACATTTCAAACCGATTCCAGAAACCTGCATTATTGTCCATATTTTGTGGTACAATATTGGACAAGTAAAACGTATCATCCATCCCTCTCTGAAAGAGATTCAAAATATTAAATTATCTAATAAATATAAATTATAGCCTAAAAATGATAATAATTCTACTATGTTTACCTGGTCATGTTTGTTATTGCCTGCGGGAGCCATGTGACCTCTGGACCAACCACTACCGAGGAAGTCGCTGTTGTCTGCACTGAAGAGGGATGGGATCTGAGAATCTGGCATGAACTTGGAATACTTTCTGTTTGCACTTCCTGAAGAAATTTTCACAAGAATTATTTTTAATTATTTTTTTTTTTTCGGGGGGGGGGGGGGGGGGGGGATTTTTGAAAAATTGTTTATCATGAGGATTTATTTTTTGAATACTAGCCCTCTAATCTTCAATGTCAAAACAATATTATATGTTTGTATTCAGGTTGACAGAAAGGGTTGGGTGGATCAAAGCCAATGTATTTATTTCTGTGTCTTTGCTATGACAAATCCAAATATATTTTTAAGCCATAAATATGTTATGGCTTTTAATACAGTATTTTTTTTTTTTAGCTGCTGATCAACACTGAGTAGGATTATATATGTGTGTATATAGGAAGCCTTATTATGTACCCTAATACATCTTCTACAAAACAGTTATACATATTAATGTGAAAATTCTCAAAGGCAATAGTCCCAAGTAAGCTGGACATGGTATTTTATAGTAATTGTTTATATATTAAAGAGTTTACAATATATGCTCCGAACAATGAGCATAAAATATATTGCATACATATACTAACATACCTACATTGATCTATAGCTTCAAGCAAGTACCTGGTAGACATGGAATATACAGCAATTAATTAAACCATGCCTTCATTATAGTACAATTGATCAACACATTTTACCTTGTATATGGTCCTTTGTAATCCGCTCAGCAACCCATATAGGAGTCTTTTTACTCTGATCATATGAGAGCACATGGTTTGTGAAGACCCTTGGTTCTTCACCTCTGTTTGGTACCCCATACTTCAGGATCCTTCGCTTTATCTGCTCTGCAAAAATATAAAATTTACAAAATGCAGAGAATGAGACAACATTAGATACAATTATTAAATCTTTTTGGGTGCTAACTTAACAAATTTTAAGATATTGTGTCAATGTTCCTACTTCCACAGATATTATAAAGATCCTTTTTAAGTATATAGTGATTTCCTGGAGTTTAAAATGTCTGTAAAAACTTTAATGAAAGAATTCAAATTATCCCTTCTTTTCCTCATTTTTTGTTACATTACCAGTACTTTATTTACATATTTCCCCTGTCTGCCTATCTATTTGCATACTCTTTTACATGTACATGCAGGTTTGTTCGCTAATACATGCAGGCCATGCATATGGCTTATTGGGTAGAGAGTCTGTCTAAAGTTTGGAAGTCTAGCTGGATTTGGATCCTAGTCTGGTCATTGCATTTTCTCCCTTCTTGGAACATTTTGTTTCATTCCATGGGACCATGTCCTATAGTGTGAGATGAAAGACCTGCCAGGGATGAACCTAACCGGCTTAAATATCAGGGTGAAGACAAGTAGGGACCGAAGAATATAGTGGTCAGATAGGTTTATTTGTGGGTGGCCAGATGGCTAATTGTGTAGAGAACCTATTGGGAGCCTAGGTTCCAATCCTGGTCAAGTCTCATGCATTTTCTCATTTCCCATGACAGTTCTGTCAGTGAAAGAAAAATACCTGTCAATGATGAACCTGGGTTGGTGTCTTCTAGGATAAAGACATTTAAGGAAGAATATTGAGGTCAGGTAGCTTTGTTTCATAGATGGACAGATGTCTCAGTTAGCAGAGCACCTGTCTGGAGATTGGGAGGCCAAAATTTGGGTCATGGTCTAATCTGCTTCATTTCTCCCTTTCTGGATTCCATGTCCTAGCAGTAAAAGACCTAGCTGCTAAGGATGAATTCTGGTTAGTGTCTTTTGGGTGACGATATTTATTTAATAAAGGAATGAGGATAAACTGGTGGTCAGATGGATTCATTTTTTACCATGTTTACCTGTACATTTATCAGTAACAGACACCATGTAAGGGGTCGTTGAGTCCACTCGTGGCCACGGCGTGAGCTACATGCAGTTCTACATTAACTAGATTCTATTATTAGATTGTCCTTCTTGCAAAAACATACTGTCTCAGTATATATTTTCTCAGTCTTGGTTTTTAGAGAGGTACATATGTACATGCACAAAAATGTCTCTATATAGATTGTAGGAGTCCCTGTTCTTTGTACAAACCATTTAAATCCTCAGACACTTGTTGAGCATACTGATGTTGAATTGAACTTGGGGATTTTGCATACTGATAAACTCCAACGGCAAACAAAGTGGCAACTGTTCCTGCAAAAAACCCACGTGTATATGACATTGTTTACATGAAGATGAAAGTGAAAGTAACATGGTTTGAAGTCTGACCGGAAGTGATCAGAACTAATAATCAAATTATTATTTTTTTAAATTGAAAAATAATGATATATACAATATAAAAAATTGTGTTTATTTCTGAAGTATATGTACACAAGATAAGAATAATTTTCCAAAAATAATTTTATCCAATGAGATTTCCAGAAGAGGTTTTGACAGTGACGTCAATACCACATGTGTTTCTCCCGCTTCCGTCATTTTTGTCACTGTTGATCAAAATTTTGGTGTATTTAATAGGAAAAGACAAAGGAAGGTGATCCGGGGAATAAAGGTAATTCTAGAGAACCTTTTCTGTACAATGATCAACTAATATTGTTGGTTTATTCTTAATTTCATTCATCGATCTCCGTCATCTACGCCAGTTTTGGTAACTATTGAAAAGGAATCTGTAAACACGAATTGAAGTCGACAAACACGAATTCCTATGGGGTTACGATAGTGTTTGATGGATACATTATTTAGTTTATTAGTTTTAGTAACACAACTGCATATTTTCATCACATAAGGCTGGTCTAAGTTCCGATATTATCTCCATACAGAAATGATTATGTGAAGCATATTTTATATGAAAAAAAAGTCTTGAATTTATATCTAAGTAAGTAAAAACTAGCCATGAGATTTAATATATAATGACTGGTGGACAGATCAGAACGATTCCATAAATAAAATAATAATAATACTCATGACATGCTAGCCAGAGAAATTATTTCCTATTTGAATGTTATAAATACAAGATAAAAAGTAAATCATTGTTCATGTTGATGGGAAACTAAGAACATAATTTTGATAAACAAGATGACTTATTAATTTTTCTATCATCGACTTCTTTCACCTATGTACCAATATACTATTTAATTATCGCCATTGCACCATGTATGGTGTTTTTATGTCTCCCACTTGATTCGATAAGCAAGAGAATGTTGTAAGTATGAACAACTTTTAGACTGAAACATGCTACTGACAAATAAGTTGATGATACATGGGTTTCGACAATCTTGTTTAAAATCCTCATTTTGCAAATACTCTTGTCAATGCAGTGAGCTTGTTTGTGAAAAACAACCTGTTGTTAAGTCAAGTGTTATACAACTTTTTTATTTATAAACAAATTAACCAATTTCTCCGTTTAACTGATCAACACAAAGGGATCATGGCTGGTTTGACCAGTCAATGGGATGCTTACTTCCTCCTTATTCCAGCTCTGATTTTTCAGGGATTCATTCCCTCTGCTCTCATTTGTATTATTCATACATTGTTAATTGGACTTTTGAGCATAGTTACTGTTAATATTCACATATCATTAAAATTTTGTGTAAGTAACTTGGGATATATAAGCATGATAAATCATCACAAACTATAGTTCATAATAAATACGAAATTATAAATGAGTGATTGAATTTTGGATGTAAGTCTTAGACTGCTTTTATGGCCCTTGGGCCTGTAATTTCTCAACAGGAGGACAAATCTTAAAAGACATTTTTAGTATTTACACTGTTGAAATTTTAATTTGAATAAAGGGCTTTTGCAAAGATGCCTTCTGATGCCAAGAAAAAGAGAGATCAGAAGAAGAAAGAGGCCGCCGAGAACAAAGGTAAAAAGAAGACCGACGATTCCCAACAGAATGGAGACACGGAAAACGGAATCAGCAATGGAGCAGATAAAGATGATGGTATGCTGGATAATTTAATTTTTTTGAAATATTATCAAGACTACTATGTAATTTTTCTTCACTACTCACATTATATGCTTAACAACTGTGTTACTGAGCTAAAAAAACAAAACAAAAAAACATTCATTTGATAAGGAACCAGCATCAGTATAGACCAGCATGTTGTGTACGGAATAATGTATTGTTCTGTTCTTAATATAATAAGCATTCTGAGAGTATTGAATAAACAATACTAGTTCCCTTCTGTCAAGTGTAATCTGGTTCCTGTTAAAAATTTCAGAAGGCCATAATTCTATAAAAAAAAATCATTGAAGGGGGAAAAATGCAAACTTGAATTGTAACTCATTAAGGTTAACTCGCATACCAAAAATCAGCTCTATATTCCCAAGTGTTTAGGGGAAAAGTGTGGAAAACCAAATGGGAAATCTGGTTCCCCCTAAAAATTTAAAAAGGCCATAATTTAGTTAAACATCATTTAAGCGGAGGGAAATGCAAACTTGATCTGTAACTCGTCAAGGTGCATTCACATGCCAAAAATTAGCTCAAATTAGCTAGGCAAGCATTTAGAAAAAAGTATGGAAAACTTATGTGGGACAGACTGACAGACAGACAGATGGAGGTAACCAATTGTCCTCTCCGGTTTCACCGGAGGGGACTAATTAAGGTGCTGGGAGCAGTATCATATGACACAATTCACAGCCAGCAAATTGTAAACTTTGAGTCTACTTCAAATATTCTCATGCTTAAATTAGTTCCTCTCTCCTAATTTTACAGAAATGAATGAGCTTGCTAAGGAATTGGAGGAAGTGGATGTGAAGGCCCAGTATCGCTCTGTTACTGGGGTTCTGTTGTCACACCCTGACAGCAGAGATGTTCAGCTCGGCAACGTGACTCTCACATTTCATGGAGCAGAACTCCTCTCGGACACTAAAATAGAACTCAATGTTGGCCGAAGATACGGGTTAATTGGACTCAACGGATGTGGTAAATTGATAGTTGATATTGAATATTAATATAGTAGGATCATGGTTAAAGCTAATGTTTTAGAGAACAAATAAAAATAAGGATTGGTTCAAGAAATAAAATAGATTTCTTCAGAGATACATGTAAATAATGAAAGTTAAAAAAGTAGTATTTTTAATTTATGATCAATGAAATGTTGAAATGCTGTACTACCCCCTTTTTTTTGCATTCGATGAGGGAACTCTCTCTGTTTCCTCAGTGTTTGTTCACTGGGATAGCTCTGTTTGCTGAGCTTTCATTCTGTGATCACTCACAAACTCTCAATTTGCTCACTGTTCACAATGCATGGACACATTTCAGGGAATGGATGAACAACTGTTATACATTGGACCCTATGTTGATGTATAAGGCAGAGTTACTCTTACATTTACAGGTAAATCTTCGCTGTTGTGTGCTCTGGAGTTCAGAGAATTACCTATACCTGAACACGTAGATATCTATCACCTCCGGCGAGAGATTGAGCCCAGCGATAAGACAGCTCTACAGTGTGTGATAGAAGTAGACAAAGAGAAGCTGATGTTGGAAAAAGAGGCTGAAATTCTGGCCACGAGAGAGGATCATGGTAAGGAAGAGGGAAGTATTGAAAAAAAAAAATCAGAGACAAGAAAACTCAGATCTGATAAGTTTGTCAGAAATAGATTTAAGGTAGACAAATTTGGAAGAGAGGGTTATGTTTATTTTGTTTGTCTGTATGCCTTATCATTTCTTTCTCCAATATGACCCTATAACTTTCTCTGAAGTACATGTATGAACATGAGATAATAACTTCATATTTTGTCGTAGTGAAGGTCATGTCGAAGTCAGAAATTAAAAGAACAATTTGAGCACTAAGGCACCTTATTTTATAAATGTATCTTAATCTCTATATTCAGTTTCAATTCTAAAATCCTTAACTTTAGGCACATCATAGCTGTTAAATCTCTTAGAAAAGTATACAATTTTGAGTTAATATTTATTATATTTAAAATTTTCAGAGATTTAAAATCAGTAAAAACAAGGCAAATGTTCAAATTTTTTAAAATAAAATTTTGATAATCACATAGTGATTACCTACAGTGATAATTTTTGGACTAATTGGAAAAGTGAGCAGAAAAAAAAAGATTTCTTTTTCCTTTTTTTTCTTTTAACATTTTTTTTTTCTTACATATTTTCATACAAACAGAATCTCAGGAGCGTTTGATGGATGTGTACGAACGCCTGGATGACATGGATGCAGACAAAGCACAGGCGAAAGCCGGATACATCCTCCACGGTCTGGGCTTCACCAAAGAGATGCAGAACACAGCGGCCAAACACTTCTCCGGAGGGTGGAGGATGAGGATAGCCCTGGCCCGGGCCCTTTATATCAAACCCTCACTATTGCTACTAGATGAGCCCACAAATCACCTTGATCTCGATGCATGTGTCTGGCTGGAAGAGGAACTCAAAACGTAAGTTGAAACTTAGTCTCAGTACAGTGGTGTCATCATTTTTAATTAATGTGAAAATATCATGAGTAAATACTTGCTTATTTCAAAAGTTCCAGAACATGTATATCAATAAGGCATTCATTATGTGGAGGAGATCTGTATAAATTTTGCTAACTCTACAGCTAAAGGGCAAATATATAATGAACTACAGGAATTTATCAGGAAAAAAATGTAGAATGAATGTAGAACATGCAATAAAATACATTTAATTTATTTGTTTTATGTTTTGTTTTTTTACAGTTACAAAAGAATATTGGTGATGATTTCTCATTCACAAGATTTTATGAATGGAGTGTGTACAAACATCATCCACATGGTTAGCAAGAAGCTGAAGTATTATGGAGTAAGTAGTAGAGTTCTGTTGTCATAATGTTGAAATTCTCTTGGAAACACAAGTATTGAATGTGTAGGATATGACTAAATAGACTTTTTTTTATGCATCTGAAAGTTTAGAAAAAAAAAATCTTGTTAGTCCTAAAATGTAACATTCATAGAATATTTTGAATCAACTTCATATGTAATATTTACTTGTAATTTGGTAAGTTTCATTAAGGTTTCGTCTGATTTGAAATCTAGGCATCTTTGTGCGGGACATCAGTATAACTTTTCATTGTAGAGTACTAGTTTTCATGTCCTTATCATGTTTCTGTTTGTATTGTAGGGCAATTTTTGCCTTAATGTACATGTAGTTTTTGTAAGGTAATTATATAGCCTCTGACCCTTTTGTATGGTGATTATAAAGCTATCATAGTTTTGTAGGGTAATTGTGATCATGTTTTTATGTTCAATAATTACCTTTAGGGTAATTATGATGCCTCTATGTACTTGTAGGTAATTATGAGGCCTCTGTGTACTTGTAGGGTAATTATGACACCTTTATGTACTTGTAGGGTAATTATGATGCCTCTATGTACTTGTAGGGTAATTATGATGCCTATGTACAAACAAGGATGGAGCTGGAAGAAAACCAGATGAAGAGGTATAAGTGGGAGCAGGATCAAATCTCACATATGAAGGTGAGGAAAATCACATTCTTAATGCAATGAAGAGAAGTAAAATGTTTCGTAATCATATAGACTAGTTTGACTAATGCCCTGCTCTCATCCTTTCCCAGCTTTAAGAAGACAAGTCTTCAGATGACATAGGTATTGGTTCTGTTTGATATGATGATATGAAAGGCCGAGTTTTAGTGTTAGAACTCTCCCTTTGGTTCCTACCAGAGAGGATTGAAGTTCAACACGATGTTCAATACTCTGGAAGCGAAATTTATCTTATCTGACAAAACAGAAAGCATTTTATTATTTTGCATTGATTATTCATTATCTTCACGAAAGTGAAGAGACATCTAAACAGAAAAATAGGTTTTGATATGTATTTTACATACTTTATTATTATTTGCTGTGATTGAAGTGAAATACATGCAATGATGGATTAATGTTTTCCAGAACTATATAGCTCGTTTTGGACATGGTAGTGCTAAATTGGCTCGCCAGGCTCAAAGTAAAGAGAAGACACTGAAGAAGATGGTGGACGGAGGTCTGACTGAGAGAGTCAGCAGGGATAAGGTAGATTCTGACAGATAATAACAAAAAATGAAAAAGGAAGAGTAATTATAGCAAAAAAATTTAACCGTGGAAGTTGTAATGCACAATAGAATTATGTGCTGGTGTATGTACTGATGAATCATTAATTTCCCTTGTGGTTGAATTTCATGGATTTTGGAACCATAGGCCCAAGAATTTACAATTTCAATGAATAGTGACTTCTGAGTTACAGTTTATTTTTCATGCAACATGAAATCCATGAAAATAAGCCCTATGGATTAAAATGATTTTACAGTATTACTGTACCAAAAAAGTTTATAGAAAATTCTTGGAATTGTTGGGGGTAGTTTGTCACCCTTACTAGATTGTTTTTAAATTCTGTAATGAGGAATATTTTCAACCTGTATTGTGGTATTTTTGCAGACATTAACATTTTACTTCCCTGACTGTGGCAAGTTACCTCCCCCTGTCATCATGGTTCAACATGTCAGCTTCAGATATAATGAGTCAAAGGTTTGTTTATGCATAATATGTGTTTGTTTTTGGACTACAGTAATTTTTTTAAAAACTTTTTTGGTTTCCATAAATCTATGTATCTCCACTAGTTTATGGGACACAGGGAAGCAAAATTTCATTTAATGAGATGCAGAAAAAAATAATGAGACAAAGTGATAGAGAAAATAAGGAATGTTGTAGAATGTGCATTTTAAGTTTTAAGCCTAAGAAATCATGATTTCTGATTTTAGTTATGCTAAATCAGGTTGTATTAACCATTTGTTTTTGGGTTTCCCAGCCCTGGATCTACAAGGACTTGGACTTTGGTATGGATTTAGACACCAGAGTAGCATTAGTTGGTCCCAATGGTGCAGGAAAGTCAACTCTTCTTAAACTTATTGCAGGAGAGGTATGTCATATTTCCATAAACTATTAACATATCAGTTACATCTTCTGGGATTAGGGAAGATTTCATATTTTGTTGCAGCATACATATAACTGAAAACATTTTGTGTCGTTTCAGTTAATACCCACAGATGGATTAGTAAGAAGGCATTCTCACTTGAAGATTGGGAGATATCACCAGGTAGGGAGAGCTTGATTTGATCTCAAGTGTTACTCTGTAAGGGTTGTGCAGTATGACTGACTTTATGTCATGTACATGTATGTTCAAGTTGTTTACTGTAAAATCACTTATTTTCATGAGTTTAAATTTTCTTGGTTTAAGGAAAAAATGGTTCATGGAGAATTGATTTGGTTTTTAAAAATGACATGATAGTATAATTTGAAATTTAATATTTCGTGGAGAACATGAATTCATAGGTCTCTTGATATTAAGAAAACAATGAATGGTAACCCCAATGAAAAATTAATGATTTCACAGTATTTATCAAGAAAAACAAGTGATCAGGAAATGTTTTGATCAATCCCTTTCTAGTTTTAGTCAGCCAGGACAAAATTTCATGCACTTGTATTACAATGTTTCATTTTGCAAATGTGAATAGTTGAACATGTACCTCTCACTTGGTATCATTTGTATCGCAACATTACAGTGTTTGCTATTACAATGAACTGTACTTATGCCCCTCTCTCTCTTTCGGCAGCATTTACAAGAACAACTTGACATGAACATGACAGCCTTAAATTGGATGATGAAATCTTTCCCAGAAATTAAGGAGCGAGAGGAAATGAGAAAGATCATTGGTCGATACGGACTCTCAGGGCAACAACAGGTACACTGTACTTGAAATTTTTTTTTTCCCAGAGAGGTTGGCCCACAACAGAAATTTATCAATAAGAATATTGGATTTAAATCTATGGCACTTTTTGCTATAAAACAGGCTTAGAGTATGAACTATAAACTGATAAAGGTCCTATTTTAGCAATAATCATACTTGAGGGCCTTTTGCACTGCTTGTCGTCCGCTAATTTATGTACAGACTAATATATGATATCATTTCATGTGTAAAATTGTGCTATTTTGTAATTGACTAATCAAACGAAGACAAGATTGTGCTAAATTTTGAGTGTGCTAACAGTATATGCATGCAAGCAGAATGTTAAGGGTGTATGTGTTTATACCTGGATTTGTCTTTTGTTGTCCTATTGTTATCCTGTATTAGAAAGGTTTTAAATTATTTAGCAGCAGTATATGTGCTTATTTCCAGTATTCTCTATTGCTCCACTTGGCATTGCATTTGTTATTGCTGTACTAGTCAAAAAATTTTAACACTTCTTGTGAATAATGTATGTTGACTTGCATACTACCAGTTAACTTTACCAGTTTTAGTTAATTTATTAAACTGCTTACAATGATTTATTTTTAATTCAGATTGTGCCAATGAAGAACTTGTCAGATGGACAGAGATGCAGGGTTATCTTTGCCTGGTTGGCGTGGCAGAACCCTCACATGTTGCTTCTGGACGAACCCACCAACCATCTGGACATTGAGACGATCGACTCGCTAGCTGATGCCATTAATGACTTTGATGGTGGGCTGGTCCTCGTCAGTCACGACTTCAGGCTTATATCACAGGTATGTAATCTGGATTACTATGTCTAAGACAAAAAAGAAAAGAAAACACTAAAAGTAAAAGTGAAATTTCATGGACAGAATAAATGCATGTACATGTATTTAGTAAGAAAATTCAGTATCTAGACATTAAAAATGAAGAATATGTTGCTGTTGACTGTGGGATTGGGTGTGCAAATTTTGCCCAGACCATTTATCTAGTTTAAGTATTTAAAAAATAGTATTGAAGTAAAATTTTGAATTTCAAAGTTTTGTTTGTAAAGATTAAAATAATAAATTATTCATATCAGGTCAATGGAAAATCTGGGTTTAAGATGAATGATTTCAGATTGAATGTATCACTTTTAGCTACATGTAAAGATCTGTAAAGTCTACTAGAATGAATATTAAAATGATTAATGTTTTAATGTTTATCTGTTTATTTGTAGGTTGTGGATGAGATTTGGATCTGTGAGAAACAGACCGTTACAAAGTGGGAGGGGGACATTTTTGAATATAAAGAAGCACTGGCCAAGAAAGTCCGCAAACAGATCGCCAAAATGAGGGACGGTTGACAACGTGCTTTAATTAGCTTAATTGTTTTTATGATTAAATTATTGCATACTCTTTTTTTTCTTGGTTAAAATTTTTTTTTTTTAACTGGTGCATGTCTTTCAAAGGTATTCTGTATGAATCATGGCAAGATGGTATGCAAAGGAAAAAAGAGTAAATGATGTATTTGGTCAGTAATTGCTGTGTATTGTTAAAAAATTGTGAGAGCCACATAGTGGAAATCAGTGATTTCAGAGAAAGAAAAAAATATGTACAGTTTAAAAGAAATTGTTGCATGATATTTTTAAATTCATGCTTTTTACACATGCTTTAATGTTCTAAGATTGAACAAAATGAATTATGAGAATTTTTTGTCTCCAGTTTCTTGTCACCTTTAGAAATTATATGCTCTTGTTTGGAGTGATGAGAAAATGATGTATTATTACTACTATTTAACTTGATTAAGCTTTATGTTACTGTTTTCAATGCATTACAGATCGTTAAAAACACAAAAAAAAAACTGTATTCAACCCGAGATATTTTTAAAATTAATACAACTGACCTGTGAAAATTTAAAAAAATTGAAGTACATGTAATTTACTAAAATATTTTGTTCTTTGGTTTGTTAAAATTGCATGCAACAACAAGAAACATCTGTTAAATGTTGCCAACAATTATAAAAGATCTTGGAAAACTTGAATTATTGTTGTTTTCATGATATATGTTCCTTGAATTAATACATATACGAGTTGGTTTGCTGTACAAGTATATAAAGATTTCTCTCGTTAACTGAAATTTTGAAAAAATTTTTTTTTTTAGAATTTTATGAAATTATCAATTTTGGTTTCATTTATAAATAGATTTCACCATTTTCCAATACCCCCATCACTAAGGAAATAAACAAAAGGATTAATTACAGCATTTATAGCCACTATATCTGTAGCATACGTATACAAGATGTATTTGTGAAACACTGATGCCCTCGTATGGCAGCTTATGGCGAAGGTTAAAGTTTCTCAAATGCAAGTCAAACTCCATGTCAAAATGCAGTCAAACTCCAGGTTAAAATTTCTCAAAATTAAAGTAGGTGAAACTCCAAGGTCAAAAGGTCAAAGTTGTTGGTATCCAAAGAAAGGGCACAAAAATTACACATGTGAAGTATAAAAACCATAGCACCAACTGTTCAAAAGTTATGGCCAAGATTAAAGTTTCATAAGTAGGTCAAACTCCAAGGTCAATGGGTCAAAGTTGGAATCCAAAGGGGGATCTTGTCAAAAGGAATATGCACATGTGAAATATGAAAGCCACCAACTGTTCAAAAGTTATGGCCAAGGTTAAAGTCTCATAAAATTTTGCAGAAGTGGGTCAAACTCCAAGGTCAAAAGGTCAAATATGGTTCCAAAAGAAAGGTCTTATCACAAGAAATACACATGTAAAATATGAATGCCATAGCTCCAACCAATCAAAAGTTATGTGGAAAGTTAAATTTTTCAAAATTGAAGTAGGTAAAAACTCAAAGGTCAAGGTCAAAAGGTCAAAGCTGTTGGTATCCTAAGAAAGGTCTTGTCACAAGGAATACACATGTGAAGTATGAAAGCAGTAGCACCAACTGTTCAAAAGTTATGGCCAAGGTTAAAGTTTTTTTCAAAAGCAGGTCAAACTCCAAGTTCAAGGTCAGTGGGTCAAAGTTGTGGATATTCAAAGAAAGATCTTGTCACAAGGATTAAACATGTGAAGTTTGAAAGCCCAAGTACCAACTGTTCAAAAGTTATGACCAAGGTTAAAGTCTCATAAAATTTTGCAAAAGTGGGTCAAACTCCAAGGTCAAAAGGTCGAATATGATGGTACCCAAAGAAAGGTCTTGTCACAAGGAATACACTTGTGAAATATGAAAGTCATAGCTCCAACGAATCAAAAGTTATGGGCAAGGTTAAAGTTTTTGCGGACAAACAGACGGACGGACAGGGCAAAAACTATATGCCCCCGAATCTTCGATTACGGGGGCATAAAAACGCATCCTCTATAACCGTCATCATTCTGAAACTAGGCTTTCTTAAAGATCCTAAAGAAACGGAATATAACAACAGTGGTTGTGAAAGAAATTACAACGGTTGTGATAGTAAATCTGAAATTCCTATACTAAGACTCTTCTCCACTTCATTTCTACTGGAGGTGGAAGGGACCTATTTTTGGCAAGATAAGTGGAATTGTTTTTCATATGGGCTTTTGCATCTGTATTTTTCTGTTATCTTGCGCTATGACTGCCAAATCTGGTACGTGTACCATCAAGTAAATCCATCTTTGTCTCGCCAATGTGTGTGTTTGTTTTGCTTTTTGTTTTCTTTTTGTTTTCTTTTCTTTTCTTTTTTTTTTTTTTTTTTTTTTTTTTTTTTTACATTTCCCTTACTTCCTTTTCGACGATTTAACCTCATCGTTTAGATCATATCTTGCATCATAGAAGTTTCTGTCTGTTCCCTGTGACATGTGGTCATCGCCTTTCGATTCTCCTGTGTTAATCGTTGTAGCAACTTTAATCTATGCAGAAGTTTGCCGATTCTAAAATCATGAAAATAGCAAACTTCGATAATGAGAAAAGGTGAAGATAATGAACAGTGATCGATCTAAAAAACAAAAACAAAAAATAAACCTACAAACAATATAAATCTGTGAACAGGGCAACACAGACCCCCAAAATTGCAGAGTTGGGATCATGTGTCTGGGAGGAGTAAGGAAGCCCTGTCGACCTTCCAAGCCCACAGAGAGCCCTATGTACACGAAGTATTCCATAGTCGGATTTAGTATAAAAATCAAGGCCAAACAATTGGTATGAAATACATACGCAGCACAGTTAAGGTGTCAAATGGAAATATCGGCGAATTTTTTAGATAGAAAATACATTCTTTACAAGGATGGGCATTTCTTTTTAGGACTTTACTATTATCGGACAAATGCAATGTGGTTGAAAACTAAATGTTGAGGACGATTAGATTTCTTATTAAAACTTGTCACGTGATTTTAGCAAATATACCTGAAGTATTGAGGTAATCTATAAATTCTAATATTGCAAGGGCATAACCAAGTTAAAAATCTAAGTTTAACATATAATTATTTTCAGCACTCTTTGTAGTTTGTGAAAAGTGCTGCGAACCTATATAGATTCTACTATCTAATTGCTAAAATTACATTTGTTAGACCGTATGTTGAATATTTTGCTGGTCAAATACATTAAATGTAGATATAATTAATTCATTTACAAGATTTCAACAGGTTCGCAGCACTTTTCAAATATCTTCATACTTCTTGAGTTTATGTGTAAAAGCTTGTCATAATTCATTGAGGGTATGCCCTTGCAATATATCGATTTATTAAGACCCTTCTATTACCCTTCAATGAATCTGCATACAAATATACGACAGTATCGCTTGTCTAGGGAATGTACGGGAAGTATATGAATAAAATCATAAAACAGACATCGCATCCAAGTTAATGGCTTCTTATATATCTACAATTTATATTTTATTTAATTATAAAATACATTTTTCATTGTATAAATATAACTTGATCCGCCTCTCACTGCATACAAACTGCGTCAAATTTTCCGATATGACGTCACATTGACAAGTGCATTGCGATCAGTGAATTGTTTAAAAATTGCTGTGTGGGATTTAACCAACGACAATAATGCATGCACTAGTTAGAATTGATGTAGTTTAAAGCTATTCATAAATTTATAATAGCAAATCATTTCATTTTGTGGTACATGGGTTTATGGGGGCAGACATTTTTGTTAAACGAAGAAGTGTGAAAAGAAAAATAGCTTTCGATGACATGATTGGTATATAAAAACTATGTTGATTTTCTGAAAAAAATATTAATCTGAGTTGTTTTACGTTCTTAAATGAGTTAAAATGGCTGATTTTGAGCAAATTAAACTAAATATACAAGAAATGCAGAGACGATATTATTTAGTATACATTGCATATGGAAAACTTGCAAGTCCGAAAGTGATGTGTCCGGAAAGAACCGGTAAGTTTATTTTGAGAAGCATCTTTTCACATCTGAATTCGGGAAAAAAAACAACATAGGATCCACCCCTTGAAGTTGCTTCCATTTATTGTCTTGCGCATACTGTACACGCGAGTTAAAAATCATGGAAAATGCTAGAGTCTTTAAAAGGCCAGATCAAGGAATTTTCTGGGGGACAGGGATCGAAACCAGCAAAAAATCGTCTCATGATTTTTTACAAGCAAAAACAAACAAACAAAACACCTATACATCCAAACGAAACGGGAACTAAACAATGTGAACACTTTATTTCACGGGAATGGGAACATCTTGACCCTTAAGAACCCTCTATAAACTGCACACTAGAGAGTTCTGATTTTGTGGTATTTTTATGTAGATAGAGTGATCTGCCCTTTGATCAAGAATAAAATAAATTAAAAAAAAAAAAAAAAAAAAAGAATAAAATAAATTGAAATGTACAGTTTGTTACTTAATTTGTGATCAAATCGAGCATTCATAACACTTTAATAGGCCAAGATGAATAGATAGAACACTTCATTTGCAGGTATTTTTCCCACTTAAGTAAACAACAGTGATTTATGTTCATCAGTAATCATAGTCTTTGAACGTTTTTCCCGGGGGTAAATGCAAGGCACCCTATGTTGAAAATGTGATTGATAAGCTCAATATTTATACCTTTACACACTACAATTTTCTCAATGTCCAAAAAATATTTTCCTCTAGTGTATAGAGGGTCATTAAGTACTTTTCCGGGAGGGATCAAAATCAGTTTTTGATTCATTAAAGCTATAAAACTCTGAAGGGCCAGAGGGATCTGGACCATAAATTTTTGACAAGGAAAAAAAGAATTCAACCAAAATTAAAAACTGTTTGGGGGGTGAAATATATTTGGTCACGGTATCTGAAAGAAATGTGGCGGAAAAAGGGTATACAGGAATAAAATCAGTCGTTTCAAAGATAAAAATAACGCATATTTAAGACGAGGGTAATAACACCATGAAGCCTATAAATGTTTGGTTAGGGGCAATGTTTGAAGAATTCCTAGTTCACTCTGCAAAGCATAAAAAGAGAATGATAATGTTACAGTCATGTTGAAGTATAAGTATAACCAAATGAAGGATTCATGAAGCGTAAACTAAAAAAAAAAAAAAAAAAAATCACAGATGTGTTATTGCATTATGAAGTTAACGATACGATGTAATCTAATAGTATATATATTTAAAATATAGTTACATAAAGCTACGTGATTTTATACTTTCATTCAAATTATAGTCTTTTGACAATGGGGGTGGGGGTGGGTTGGTTGGTTGGAAATTTTCAGTGTTACCAACTAAATACGTATGCTATATTTACATAAGATCAGATTAAATGTCAGTCTATAATTAAATAAAGCGTTTGAATTTAATTGTTGAAATATGATTTTATTGTAAAACCGACGCTAGTGTAACATACGCGTACCTTATTTCTGGGGGATAGTTTAGGTAATTAAATAAGAATAGATCAAGTTCTTTTCTTAATGTCATCAACTTCTGTTTAAAAAATAAACTTTTTTGGAAATAACTAGAGCCAGAAATAATGGACAATAAGTAATGAATAAATTATCACGTTAATCTATGTGAAAATATATAAAAATCATGTATTAATAAATTTATTTCCTTGATTCAAAGATCTCTT